CCAGCGCGGCCCCTGTGCCGGGTCGGGAGCGGTGGCCCAGCGGCAGGGCGCGCCGAGACGCGGGGCGAGGCCGGCGGGGCGGCTGGCCTGAGCGAGGGCCGCGGCGCCGGCACGCCTGCGTCCCCTCGCAAGGGTCCGGTGGGCGCGGGAGGGCCTCCTCCGCGCCATCCTCACCGCGACAGCCCTGCGAGGTAGGCCGGGCCGGCCCCGGCCCCGGCCCCCGCGGGAGTGCCGCGTGACCCGAGCGGGGCCCCGGGCGCAGCCGCGATCGCACCGGGAGCCCCGGTGGCTGAGCGCGGCCTCCCGGACCGGACGTCCGTCAGTTGCTGGGGAACATGGGCGGTGCGCTGCTCCCCGTGCCCCACCTGCGGAGTTCTGTGGGCGGCTGCCCGCCCGTGTTCAAGGTCTGCCAGAGCATGGCGGGCTCCAGCCCCGCTGCTCCTCGCACAACAGCCCTGGCAGGCGGGCTGGGCTGAGAAACGAAAGGAGAGCGACGTGGCCGAGGCACCCCAGCGCCTCTGAGGCCGCGGCTGGATTTGACCCCGGGCCTCCGGGCCTCAGACTGGTAGCAGCCCCGCTGGCTCTGCCTGTGCCGGCCGTCCCGTCCCGTCCCGGGACACTCATGCCAGTAGCTGCCATCATGATGGTCCCGACGCGCGGCTTCTCCTAGGGCCCCCAGCCGCCCGCTCTAACACAGGCCTCTGCTGTTATCGTAGCCCTTTTGCAAGGAACTGCGACTGGCACATGGGCGCTTTTATCCTTCCAACAGCCGTGTGAGGTAGGTTATGCTGAGGGAAAGACCCAGGGTCATGCAGGGAGCTTCACTCCAGCGGGGAGGGATTTGAACTCAGGCCATGCGTTATTTTAACCACACTCTGTTGAAACGAGCCAGCTTTATAGCCAGTGTTTTGCAGTGGGCTTCTTCCAGACAAACCAAATACAATTAAGATGCACCACAGTTTGGAGAAAATGGCACACGGTGCTTAATCAAAACCAGAAGCCAACATTTCTGATTTTACACTTCTGCCAGAGGATGGGGGAAAGGAATGCATGAGCCAGCGTGTTCTTTTTCGTGAGACAGAAATGGGAAGAAAGGGACACGGCATACCAGTCAGCTACGTTGCTTGGAAGGCTCCTGCAGCTTTTGTGAATTACTGCTTTAAAGGTTTGCAGTCTGCAAGCTTCAGATCCATCCTGGCACTTGTGACGGTGAATTCCAGAGGTGAATTAGACATTGTTTTAGAACCAAAGAGCTGGATCCATCCCGTTCCCATTTCAGGCTCGATGCAGCAGCATCTCGCCTTCGCTTGACAACTTCCAGCATGGGAGAATCTGTTGCGGGAACTGGTTTCATGGCTCGGGACTACACTGGGAAGGTTTTGCCTCATGTTCAGGAGAAACCCACCTCTCCCCTTGGTGAAACTGAAACACATTAGACCCAGCCCCGTCCGCTGGGCAACGGGGAACAAGTCTTTCCCCTGTTCTGTGCGAGGGCCCTTTGGGGATTCGTAGAGAGTGGTCCCTCTTCAGCAGGGGCGCTCAGACTGTTGGTGGGGCAAACTATAGTTCAAAAAAAATATGAACTTACCCTGTTCTCCTGGCAGCGCTTGCTTTCCACATCCCGGGCTGCCTCCGCCGCCCTCCTCGGGACCCTTCCCCGTCTGCCTGCTTCCTGTGTGAAATGTGGGACTCCTGGCGAGCGTGAGGAATCGCCTCGACCCATCTTCCATCCGGAGAACCCGAGCTCCAGCACGGGGGATTTCTTGCTATCTGCTCTTTTCATCATTTTCAATTTGGAGAGAGTATCTTTCAGGTCTTGTAGAAGAAGGGTGATGTTTTCTTGAGGAAAGAAGCGCAAGGAAAATGGGAGGTGGCCTTTTTGTGAGGAAGCAGCTCAGTAATCCGAGCCTCTTTGGAGCTGCAGGAGCAGCTGAGCAGGAAGGAGGCTTAACTCCAGCTCAGTTATGGGTCCGTGGATCCGGATGGGATAAGGTGGTTCATGTTCTGTTTTTAATGTCCACACACACACACACACACACACACACACACACACACATTTAGTCTGCAGTGTTATGCCTGATAAACCAGACAAGTTGGCACGCATGCCTAGTGCCCAGCCAGGGAGTGGCAGCTCCTGCACAGACCATCATTACCAGTCCGGGTGGCTAAAGGCAGTCTCCGGGGGTCAGGGGCAGTGTGCCCATGTGGGGGGCAGGTGCTGGTGGGCTGCGCATGGGCGGGGGTTGGTGGCCAGGTGAGCAGAGCGCTGGACACTAGAGGCTGATTCCGAATGGGCACTTTGGTGCCCTTGACACGCAGCGATAAACGGCTGCTTTTTCCTTCTCCCTGGTGGAACGTGGCTCCAGGAATTCTGTGCTGAGTTTTCCAGTTGGGGCAAAGGGTGCCAGCGCGGGGCTAACTGAACCTGCCCCTGCCTTTTCCAGGGTGAGCGCCTTGGAGTTTCAGCCGCGGCAGCATCCCTTCCCGCTCCCACAGCGTGCCTTCGAGAAACACTCCACTCGCAGCACAGGCAGAGAAGTGTTCTGGCTTGATTCAGCGCCACACAGAGAGGAGAGGGCAGGTGAGCTGTTCGCTTCCTTCCTGCAGCCACAAAGGACTGGCTGCTCTGCCCGGAGCTCAGACGGGACGTGTCACTCTGGTTCTTGTGGAGAAATGTCAAGGGCGCACTCGCAGGCCTGTTCAGCCAGGAAAAGCCCCGGCTGGCCATGCAGTCCTGTGCCACTTGGGAGTGTCCTCCAGGCCGCCGGGTTGTCACTGTGTCCAGAATGCGGGACCACGTGGCTCTTTGGGCGGATCCCGCCTGGCGGTTCTTACAGAGCACTGATGACGGCAGGGTCACCAGAGGGAAACCTTGCTGCGCATGGTGAACAGATTCTGATCAAGACTGAAACAATTCCCCTCGTCCTTCTTGCTCAGGCCTTTAGCTGGAACTCAACGTTAGTGACAAATAGAAGTCTCCCAGTTCTTGCTTATACGATGCCACCGATGCGCACGTGCTTCAGAGAACACGAGAGGAGAAGCCTCTGCCCCAAGAAGCTTAAATCTAAAGCAATCTGGAAAACGTGTTTGAAAAGCAGGGAAAGAAATAATTCCAGTGAATGACCGCGTTTGTCGTGCGGGAGCCAATGGACAAAGCAAGGGGAAGCGGAGGCAGAGTGAATGGAGGGAACATGTGACCCACGAGGGGCACGGTCAAGGTGCCTGTTAAGCTGAAATTCCAACCTCGAAACTTCCACGATTGCTTTCCGTCTCAGAAAGCACCCGTGAATTTGTGTGCCCATGTTTGAATGGCCAGGGCCGAGTTCTCCCCATTCCTCCGTGCTTCATACCCTAATCCTAATTATGACACCCAGGTGGCTGTTGGCTGCTGAGGGGAAATGAGCCAGAGCAAGGCCAGTTTCCTGTCTGTGGCCAACGGCAGCTTTGCTGACGTCTTCCCCGGCTGCTACTGCTTTAAAGACAGGAAGGGCTTTACGTCCATCTTGTGCACATTTAGCAGTTTTCAGACAGCCCCGGTTACTACCTCAAGCTAAACCCCTGGGGAAATCCACGGCAGAGTCCAGGCTGCAGGAGAACAAATCAAAGTCCAAGGTGGTGTGTGCGTGTGTAAAGGCTGACCGGTCAGGGAGGAGCAGGCGGGTTTTGGCAAATCTGGAGGAGAAAGGCTTTCATGTTGCAGTCGTGCTATGTTAGCACAAGCTTCTTGGCTCAGGGGTGACAGGTTAGAAGCTGACAGCAGATCCGACAACAAGAGAACTGGGGAGGAAGGGCTGATACAGGAGAAAGATGAACTCCGTGTCGGTCCCTGGATGAGTGTCTTCAGGGGCTTCTTTCAGCCCAGGGATTCCGTGAGCAGCTACTTTGGCACAACAGTTGCGTCGACAGCGACAGAGGGTCCCAGAGGCAGCAATGGCGCCCTTCTACTTCTGTGCACGTGAGAGTGCCGGGCGCGCAGTGGCTTCTCCGGCGGCCGGGAGGGCGCTGGGAGGAGCGCAGGAAGCGCCGCGCTCCGCCCGCCCGCCCAATGGAAGGCCGAGCCGGGCAGTGACGCACGGCACGCATGCAAATGCGCGCACCGGAGCACTGTGGGAGCACTGTGGGAGCGAGAGCGGGGTGTGGGCGGGGGCTCCCGGGGCGCGCGGTAGGTGGGGGCGCACGGGGCAGCGCGGCGCCGGGCCGGGCCGGGGCGGCGGGGGCGCTGGCGGGGGGCCGCCGTGTGCTGGAGGGCAGGGCCGGCGAGGGGCAGGCGGCGCGGTGGCGCCCGCAACTCATACTTACCTGGCAGGGGAGACACCTTGATCACGAAGGAGGTTTTCCCAGGGTGAGGCTCATCCATTGCACTCCGGGTGTGCTGACCCCTGCGATTTCCCCAAATGCGGGAAACTCGACTGCATAATTTGTGGTAGTGGGGGACTGCGTTCGCGCTTTCCCCTGGCCTTTCGGTTCCAAAAGCAGATGAGATTTTGTTTGCTTGTGTTGTGCGTGTTCGTTTTACAATTTTGACACCTCATTTTCTAGTTTTCATTGCCTGGATTCATGTCTCATTTGCACTGGGTTCTCTTGGTATTTGCATATTCTAAACAGTCTGATGTCTTTCCCTTGTTCTTTGCTGTTACAGATATGGATAGAGTTGGTGTCTCTGTATTTTTGTTTGGAAAAATAATGTCATATTACTATCTTATAGTATGAGTATATTATAATGCTATAATGTGAGTATTAGATGCCGTCAGCGTTTCCTGGAAGGGATGGATGAGTCGGCCGGGCCCTTTTGGCGTTCTGCTAGTCTTGCCATGCCGAGAGCACGTTCGCCAGGTCAAAGTGAGCCATGAGCCAAGCAGGAAAGTGTTTGGATATGAGCAATGCCAGCGGGAGGGAAGGAGGTGGGGGGGAAAACCTCCGTGTTAGAGGGATGTGGCGGGGAATGGCTGGCTGCCTCTGCTTCCCGGCCACAGCAAAGCTTTGGAAGACTGGAAAATAACCCCGCATTCACTCGCAGCGCTACCGTCACAGCCCACGGGTGTGCGGGAGGTAAGGGCAACAGACACACTGCAGGCTCAGAGCCCAAGATGGGGGGACCTGCTGTGAGGAAGGGACACAGGTAATTTCTCCAGCTGCGTACATTTCTGTGAACCAGTTTACCCCTCTCCAAGGTGCTCAAAGAATCCTGAAGGGAAGATGAAAAGGCTGGTGTGTGGAAAACATAGTTCAATGTATGACTCGTTGATGAAATGCGACATCTCGCCTCGTAACGAAAATATACTGGATTTTCTGCAGAGTGAGCCAGCTTTCCTTACTGCCCCGTGACCTCATCCTTGCAGCTTTCCCAAATGAGGCCAGGGGATCGGTTGCTGCTGGGACTATGTGCTGCTGGCTGGTCTCCGACTTACGGCGACCCCATGAAGGAAAAGCCCCCAAAGCGTCTTGCAAGTTCAGGGCAGCGGCTTCCTTGGTGGAGCCCGTCCATCTCGGACTTGGTCTTCCGTCTTCTTTTTCCTCTGCCTGCATGATTGCCTCCCCCAGGGAGTTATTCCTTCTCAGTGTCCTCGATACTTATTTTCATTTATTTATTTAAAGTTTTTCTATACCGTCATTCATTAGAAATTTCATGGTGGTTTACTTGCTCATGGAACGACTGGTAAAGGCCCATTTTGTTGGTGGGCTGCCTTGATGTGTTTGAACAGCACCTTCTCCCTACTCCATGCAGCTGCCGGTCCCATCACAATCTGGATTCGCACTGCTTTGCTTCACTTTCGCACATGTAAACACGGAGAGAAGAGCCCCAAAGAGGGGCAGATCCAGGGACTTCTGTCCCATCCAGCGCTTCCTGCCGTGGTCAGACAGGCGCCCCCAGGACAACGCACGGAAGTAGCAGGTCTCCTGCTGGCAGTGCCCGAGTAGATGGAGGATCGATGTGGATGCCCTGAATGGGTCTCCAGGGCTATCCATTAATTCTGTGCCAGCCTGAGGTAGGCACGTTTGTCTGCCATCCCCTTGCCGTGGCTTCAGGGCAGCTAACTAGCCGAATAAACGCGTTCGACCTTCAGGTACCACAAGGCTCGGCTGGTTTTGTTTTCCACGTTCTTGCGGCTGCTGCATTGCCAAAAATGGCTCGGCACAGCGGGACCGCGCGACGCGGAGCCCGTGCCAGGCGCTCTTCCCATGCGCAGGGGCGCCGCTCGCCGCGCGGGGCGGGCCGCGGGGGGCGGGGCGGTGTCTCTGCTGCGGCGCCGCAGAGCGCCGGGCCAATGGGCGAGGGCGCGCCTGACGGGGCCGCCGCCAACGGCGGGCGGCGCTGGCCAACCGCGTCGCGAGGCGGGGCGCGGGCGGGGCGGGCAGGAGGCGCCGGGCGCCGCGGAGCCTCGCAGTCGCTCTCGCCGGGGCCGAGCCGAGGGCGGGCAGCGCGCAGCGCGGACGGTGAGCGGGTGAGCGAGCGAGCGAGCGGGGGCCGCGCCTGCCCGCTGCCGTCCTCCGTCGGCGGCCGGGCACGGGGGAGGGGACCGTCGGCAGGCGCGAGGCGAGGCGGGCCGGGCCGCGGCGGCCGGGAAGCGAAAGGGAAAGTGACCACCGTCCCTCCCCCCCCCCCCCCCGCCTAGGCCGCCGGACGCCGGACGCGATGGCCGCGGTGGCGGAAGAGGAGCGCGACACCCGTCCGTGCAGCAACTGGTAAGCGCCGCTCGGACCCGCCGCGGGCGCCCCTTCCCGGAGACGCTGCCGTGCGGGGCTCCGTCCGGCCTTCTTCCCAGGCCGTAGGTGGCGGCCCAAGCGGAACGGGCTCTGCCGATGAACCACCGGCTGCTCGACATGTTTCTGGTCCTCAAGGCTGTCGCGGAAGGATCGGCTTTAACTAGGACGCTGCTGTCTCTGGGCCGCCCGGCTCAGTTCTCTCTCCACTGGCTTTCCAGTGTACCCGTGGCTTTCCCACGTTCAGGCACGGCTCTTTCATAGCCTTCCCTGGAGATGCCCGGGATCAACCCGGAGAAGTTCAGCTGTCGAGGCGTCCTCGAGGCCCTGAGCCACAGCGCTTGGGTTGGGTGGCCCCGTCGAGCTTTACAGCCAAGGTCTCCACAGACAAGAAATGTTAGGCTTGCCTCCCGTGGCTGCCTTAGGCTGCTGTTTTGAGCAAAGCCCCCCGAGCAACGTGCCCGTTCTCGAAAGCACCGAGCCTTCCCGTGCTGTGATGGGAGAGCAACCGGGAGCCAAGCCGGAGCAGCAGCCAGTGGGTGGGCCTGGGGATGGGCCCGGGCTTGCTGCTCAGGGACAGTGGCTGGGGGGCAGGGGGGAGCCCGACCCCCGCAGTGGGAGTGCTTTGCTCCTCTGCGAGGTTAGGCTCCTCACGTGCCTGAGGCTTCTGCTCGGTGGTTCATTCGCACCAACGGTGTGCTTGCCAGCATGCCTGCAGGGTGGGCGGCTTGGATTTGACCGGGCTGCGTGCGAGGAGGATGTGCTCGTACCTGCCGAAGCAGCTCGAGTGCCAGTCCCGTTGCGGGAAAGAACCTCCGAGTCTGTGCAGTCCGGGAGGCAGCGTCATAGGAGGGTTACAGAAGCAAAGGGCAGACTTTGCAACGCTCCTGTCCATTTCCACGCGCCTCCTCCCCAGAAGTCTCTTCCAAGTCTCAGCTGCGGGCCCCGCGTGCGTGCTTCCGTCACGCCTGGCCTGCATGCCCGCTTTCTCTTGCAGCAAAAAGGATATTCCTGTGGCAAATGCCGCCATCCATGAAATTCACTGCAGCCGGAACATTCGGATGTGTCCGGTCTGCATGGAGCCTTTCCCGAAATCGGAGATGAGAAGCCACCTGCAGCTGGTGCACGAGCAGGTGAGCAGCAGCGCCCCCTGCCCTCCCGCCGGCCTCGTCTCCAGGCGTGCTGGAGCGCAACTCCTGCCGTTCCTCGGCCAACACCCCTGCGGGGCCGCATGTGGGGGGGGGGGCGCTGTGGCACGTCATGCCCGCCCAGGAGCCACTAACTCGCTCTGCTCTGCGGTGTGTTTCAATCCAGGTTACCTGCAAGTGCAGCAGGAAGATGGAAAGGGGACTGTTGCAGGGGCACATGGTTAGTATGCTTCTTGGCCGGTCTCGTGCCCCCCGGGGGTGGCTTCGGGCTGGTGTGGGGCCACTTGTCCAGACACTGCGATAGCACGTCGGAGCGCCTGCCCGCCTACTCTGAGGGGAACAGAGAGAGCTGTCCCAGGCCGTGTGGCTGGGTGGCACAGTGGAGCCCAGCTCCCCACAAACCCGAAAGGTGGCCAGTGCTCTGACCTTATGGGGGTTGTGTCCCAGACACCTGGGGGGCACCAGGCGGCCTTCCTCAGCCCTGCACTGGCTGGCAGGAGCCCTCCCAGCCGCAGACGGGGGCCTTCCTCAGGCCCGCCGGGAGGGGCAGGGACCAGACTGGGGCTCCTGCCTGCAGGCTCTTCCTTGCCCCGCTCGCTCTCCAGGAGCTGCGTCGGCAGGGCAGGGACGGGCTTTGCTGCTGCTGGGCAGGGGCGCCGCCTTGCACCCTCTGTGTCGGACTGCGTGTGCAGCTGGCGCACCCGCTGAGTCACAGAAGCAGCAGGCCCTGAGGATGAGGCGAACGCGCTTCAGGCTGCCGCCACGGGGGGAAGTCGGCGGGCGAGCAGTTCCCCTTTCTTCGTGGGCCACGCCTGGTGAGCTGTGCTCACGCAGCACTCTTGCGCCACTGGTGGAGTGTGCCTAAGTGGCTTGTGTAAACAAGCACCGGAATCCTCACCGAGAGCCAAGCTGCTTTGTGGGCTTTTGTGAGTAGAGCAAAATGGTTGCTTCCCAGACTCGCTTCCACAGCTGGCTTTTCGCTCCAAGAGGAATGGCCCCTTGTTAAGTTCTTGCACGAGGCTGCTCGGTGCCCGGTCTTCTCACGGGCACGCTGGCTTCTTGCAGGCCTCGGAGTGTCCCCTGCGGCCTGTGACCTGCCAGCACTGTGAGATCGAGCTGGCCTTCAGCAAGCTGCAGGAGCACGAGGACTACTGCGGGGCACGGACTGAGCGCTGCGGCAGGTGCGGCCGCAACGTGATGCTGCGGGACCTGAAGCGGCACCCGGAGGACTGTGCGAAGCAGGCAGAGGAAGTGAGAGACCCCCAGGCCAAGTCCTGCTTGAACTCCAAGGCGATTTTCCGTACCGTGCCGACGAGCCGCAACAACGTCCATCCCGACGTCGCTGTGGGTTCCCTGCCGAGAGTGAGCAGGATTCCAGAAAGTAGACTTTACAATTATCTCTCAGGCGACCAGCTCCCCAGAGAGCTCGGCAGGAGGGGTGTTGTCTTGCCGCACGAACAGGATCGAGGTAATGGCATCAAACAAGAGTTAACCCACATCTTGAGCAGACACGATAACTTGCTGTTCCATATAACGTTCTCCCATGAGGGTGCTTTATTTCTGAGATTTCTGTGCCATGTGACCACACAGGTGTAGCAGAATAGCTGAAGAATATTGCCTGCTCTGGCCGGGGGTGCGAGGGACGTGGCAGGGCTGGCTGCTCGGAGCCCTGGCGGCTCCAGTCCTCCTGGGCAGGCGTGGTCTTTCTGAAGGCAGCACCTGCCTTTGCCGCCTGCTGCTCTGTGGGGTGGTGAGGTTTGCCCCCTTAAATGGAGCCCTCTAAGGGTGTGGACAGGCTGCCGGGGGGCCTGCCTCCACCCCCTCCCCAGGTGAGCACATCCTGCTGCTGCTGCTGGGGAGGTGGGCCAGCCCTGACGGCCTGATGCTCCCTGCGGTTGCGCACGTAGCTGCCTCAGCGCTCCCGACACGTGTCCCAGAGCGCTGGTGTGCTGCCATGGGGCCGCTCGCCCCAGCTCGGCGGGTCGCTGCCTTCCCCGAGGTCCTGCAAGGGGGACTTTGCACAAACTCCGGAAAGCCCGGCCGGTGCCCGGTTTGTGTTGCTGCTGCTCAGCTTGCAACTGGAGGGTGCACAGCGACGATGGGAAGGCTCACAGCACCGCACCACACTCGCTGCTAACGTGGGGTTGTGTTTTGTCCTCAAAGCCCACCTGGGGAAGCTGACCACTCCCCCGCCCTTCGGAGGAGAGCCGGACGATTACAACTTGGACTACCTGCTGGCTCTGAGCTTGCAGCATGAGCATAGCTCTTGCGAACCCAGAGGCATAGAGGACCCGAGGGACTTGTGGACGAGCATCTTGCCTCCCAGGACAAGGCCGGCGGAGAACGTGGAGGTGGCGCGTGGCTCCAGCATCTTCTCTCAGGATTTGCCGATGCCTCCGGATGTTTCAGAAAGGTCCCCAGGTGAGAGGACCTTTGTCTTGGCTTGACGGACTGGCCACGGAATCTTTGCAGGCATTCAGGGAGCTCTGCAGGAGCTGATGGCGCACTGTTCACCCAGATTCTGGCCTCCGTGAGGGCTGCCTGTGCTCGGGCTGCTGGAGTTGAGGGAGCTCGGGCACGATCCAGGGGCCGGAAGGGTTGTGTGCTGCTGCTTCGATCGGATCGGCTCTGCACCTTGCTGTGCTTGGCCCCAGAGTGGCAGGAACCGCGATCTGCGCCCTGCTGCAAGGAGAGCCAGCACGGCTGTGCCAGGCCTTGACGCTGGTCTGCGACTCGGTGGGGTCCCAAAGAGTCCCAAAGAGCAGGCAGGCTGGCGAGCCCGGTGGCGAGGGGTGTGAGCTTGTCTCGCCTTGTCTTGCAGCTGAGATCCTGCTGCCGTGTGAATTCTGCGAAGAGCTGTTTCCCGAGGGAGAGCTGATTCTTCATCAGGTCTGATACCATGAGGATTTTTCCAGGGGTGGGAGATGGGGGAATGGGCCTAAAACGGGCCCACTCGGGAACGAGAGGCGCTGGCAGGCCTGAGAAGCAGGCTTACAGAAGCAGACCAGTATGTAGGAGGAACCCCGGCCAGACTTGCTGGGACGGGGTGAGGCTGAGCCTTCCTGCCCCGGCTGTGGGTGGGCGCACACACGCGCAGCCCCAGAGGAGCTGCCGTCCCTCCGTGGGGCCAGAAAGGTCATGCATCTGAAAGGTACATAGGATGTTGGGTTAAAGACGCTGGCGGTGACACGCTGCATGCTGAAAGGGGGCGGGAGCCCGTTGCCTCTCTTCCAGGGAGCTGGTCCAGCCCCGGTCTGAGGGCTGGCTGAGCGCCGCCAGTTCTTCCTTCCGCTGAGGAGGAGGGCGTGACGGCAGCCTCCCGTTCCTCTCTGCACGACAGACCGGCTGCAGCCCGAGCAGCGCGCTGGCCTCCTTCAGCAAGAGCAGCGCCTTCATCCCGCAGTCTGAGCGCCTCTGGGCCCTGTGGGAGCAGCTGCAGAAGGGCCGCAGCCAGTCCCCTGAGGGTGGCAGCGAGAGGCGCCCACTCCAGCCGGAGTCCTGCGGCTGCCTCATGCTCCCCTGCGAGTTCTGCGGCGTCCAGCTCGAGGAGGAGATCCTCTTCCACCACCAGGTATGGCGAGCTGCCGCTCCATGCGGGGCAGCGTGGTGGGGAGACTGGCTTGCGCTTCTGGGGAAGGCTCCCAGGAAACGCTGCCCTTTCTTGCCCCAGGATCAGTGCGACCTGCGTCCCGCCACCGCCACCCCCTCTGCAGGAGGAGCCCCGCTGCGCGAAGGGGCTCAGGCTCGGCCGGCCACAGAGCGGGCCGAGTCGCCAGATCCGCCGCGGAGGCGCCTGCGCCATCAAGGTATGGCCCCACCCTTTGGCCGGGCAAGCGGCTCAGAGCAGCCAAAGGCCAGTGGCTGCTCAGAGCGGGCAACTCCGGGAGGAGTGGAGGGCCTGTGCCTGGCTGGCCTCCTGAGGAGGCGGTGGGCCTGGGCAGGCCCCCGTCGCTTGCCTCTCTGGGGGCTGCTGCTGCTCCTGAGGACCCTCACCTGCAGCCAACACAACAGGTGCGTAAGCTCTCCCAGGTGAGGCGCCCATGGAGGCTGGGGCCACCTGCTGGCTCTTGCACAGCAGTCGGGCTGGTCCGGCTCTCAGGGACAGGCACCGTCGGAAACCGCTTTGCAGATGGTCTCCGCAGGGTTGCTCTGTACTTGCAGCGGTTCTTTTGCACTGTGGTTCCTGATTTCCTGCCTCCTCCTCAGGTGAAGTCTCCCCTCAGTATCTCGAGGAGCTCAGCCCGCAGAACTCTCCCGGAGCTCCCCAGCTGGTCCAGGGGAGCTGCCCCCGGGCCACTCAGGTGGCTGTCAGGCGCATCCAGCTGACCTCTCCTAACAACCTGCGGGAGAACCACACCGGTCCCTCCAGGGCACAGAACTCCAAGGACCTGGGTGGTGGCTGTGGGAGACTACCAAGCCGGGGCCAGGATGACCGTGCAGCCGGCCCCCAGGCTCCCAGGGCCTCGGCCCCCAGCTTTCCTCCGAGCATCTATGAGCCAAGCTTCCCAGGGACCATCCCAACTCGGCCCAGGTAGTGTCCTCGGCCCACAGCCGGCACTTTGTTGTGGCTTGCCTCACATTCTGACGTGTGGGTTTTTTCCTTCCTTGCTTCAAGAGGCAAATCTGGCCCTTTTCATTCGTTTTGGTGCCGTTCTTTAATCTGCTGAGTGTTTGGTAAATTTAGCTGAGAGGTACACGCGCATGCAAAACGTAGGTGTCTGGCTGGGAGGGCCGTGCCCTGAAAGGCAGAGCAGAAACCCCTTTGAAAAGCATTGATAAAGCTACTTATGACTGAAACACCGTTTGTTTCAAGTTGCTGTAGTCAAGTCCAGCCTCTCTTTGCTCCACAGCCTGATGAATGAAGGAGGCAGAAGTCTGGCGAGGGCCGCACATGGCAGCAGCACCAAGGTAGGCGCAGCAGGTGGCCTTCTTCCAAGGCAGGACCCTGTGGGCAGGCAAAAATTCGGCACACAAGAAGCCCACATTCAGCGCCACCACCAGAACCTAATCTCTTATTTTACAGGTTATTAGGGCTGTCGCTTGTTCAAAGGAGATCCCGAAGGGATTGATTTCTTTTAAATCAATATTTACATGAGCGTTTGATGAGAACAATATTTTTGAAGAAAACTATTTTGGTTTTCAAATGGTCAGCAGCTGTTCTAACGAAAATCGTGTTGTCCGCTATACTTCAAGTTCTTAAAACTAAGCAAAAATATTGAAACTTTCAATTGATTAAAGCTTTTGGAGTCTCAGTAGCGTTGCTGTTTTGGATGGTTTTTCTAAAGTTCACTTCTTCAGACTATGAGAACTAGCATACTGAAGCCCAGCCTCCTGCCTCTCTGTCCAAGCACTGAACTCGCTCCTCCCATTTTCAGTCACATCTTTGAAAATATGAGTGCTGGTACCATCTTGTTTTTTTAAAAAAGGCAAGCTGAGTTCTCTCTCAAGTTGACATCAAATCCTAGTGAGGCAAAACTGAGCCATGCTGCAGGGCTTCCGAACCCAGGAAGGATCCGCTGATGGGTTTATCTGGAGTTGTGTTGCCCTCTTGCCCTTGTGCTGACTGGACTCTGCCTTTACTTTCTGTTTTACAGGCCAAACCCTGGTGCGCCGAATCGAATTATCCCGACAATGAGTAGGGAAGTTTCTTGGGCCCTTCTGGTGGATTGCCTTTTCCGGCACTTTTTCCAGAGCAAGGCCTTGTCTGTGCAGCTTGTTTCAATGTGGCAGTGATTATTGTCGGTGGAGCTAACAGCAGCGTAGACGTAACTCTGCCGAAAGTCGGCCCTAGGAGCCCCGTGGCTCCCACTTGAGGACTGCTTCTTGGGATGTGCAAGTGTGCTTCTGCTCTGGGGTGGGGATGAGCCTGCTTGTCTACCTGTAGCTCCCATTTGGAGTCTTCTGCGTGTTGTGTGTGAGGGGGCTTGGCCTTGCGTTCCTGTGGAGAGCCGCTGTGCGCACCCCTGGGCACGCACCGTGGAGGCATTCACAGCTGCGTTGCTGGCTCAGCCCGCGGGCCTTGTGGGGATGCGTGCTCCTGACGTCTTGGGCTTTTGCTGCAGGCAGTAATTCTTCTCCCTGCACTTGGGAATCGGCTCATGTCCTCAGTCAGGTGTGCAAAAAGCCATAATACGCCATGGCTGTGTCTGTGTGTAAATAACATGATCTTGAATACCGGAAGTGCCCAGTTAAATGACCTAAATTGTGACAGGCTTCTGTTGTTTTTTCTCTGTGCTGATCGTTCTGGACCGGAGCCTGTTTGTTTTAAAATTCTTGTAATAAAACTTTGTAAGTTACCAGTCTGGAGTCTTGTTTGTGGGAAAGTAGTGTTGTGTTGCCCCTTTGCCGTTTGTGGCTGCAGCCCAGCGTGTTGGCGGCTGTCTCAGCCAGCCGCTCTGTTCATAGCAGGCGTGAGGTTTGCCTGAGCCTTACGACAGACTCCGCTCAGGTCCGTAACTGCTGCCTTGTACTCGAAACAGACTGGAAGGGGGGTCGGGTTAGAGTCCTCCCTGAGCACTGGTGGAAGATGCTTTCCCCAAGTCCGGGTTGCCCTCTAGAAGACATCGTCTGCTAGTGACTCCGCGGCGAAGAGTTCCCAGACTGCACGATCCACTGTGTACTGCAGTGCTGGAAAGATTCGCTCCTCCCTGCGGCAGAAGAGACGGTCTCTTGAGTCGAGGGAGGCACTGCTGGAACAGGGACTTATTCCAAAAAGACAGCAGGTCATTCCTACCATGTTCCGTTGCAGGAACTGCAGGTCAAAAAGGCCCCCAACTTCCAAGTCTGTTTCTTCTAGCCTTGCAGGAGAGAAATGGGGAAGTTGCTGTAGCTTCTCCTGCCTGGAGCTCCAAGGGGGCTCCTGGTCGGCCCTTTAAAGTGTCCTAGAAGCACACGTTTCTTCCTGTGCAATGCTTGTCAACAGACAAGAGGGGCAAAGTCTCTGACTGACACCTTCATCCCCAGTTACCAAGATCGTAAGAAGAACAAAACCGTTTTAAGGACACTTCCACCAAAAGTAAGCATTTATTAAATACAAGAAAAGCCAAAGGTCTTAAAAACAAGTGGCAACCGACTTTGCAGTGTTATTTCCAAGAGCAAAGCACTATGGTGGGTTTACAGAGGGAAGCTAAGGCTGCATTTCCTGATACAGTTGAGAAGGGAGAACAGTGCTAAGGAGGGACCTTTGTGGTAGAACTGAGATGTGAAAAGCAGATAATAAATTAACAAAATAATGGCAAATAAAACACACTTTTGTCAGCTCCGCAGCTGCTCTCCCTTGGGCAGTAGAAACTCTGAGTGCCCCTGCACAAGAGGAATGGCTGCGCCTGGCTCACTTTTTCCTTTTGTACAAAATATTTACACGTTTGCTGTAAGTAAATACAAATTAAAAAGGACAGTGCATCAAACCTATCCCAAAGCGAGCAGGCCGCCCACGGGTCTTCATCTCATGTAGTTCTCACTTCAGCAGGTGAATAAAGCTTGGAAGTTGCAGGAGGTTCTCTGTTTCCAGGCCAAGTATTAAGGAGCATGTGCAAGCAGGAAGAATTTCCTTTGGCCTGGATGCTCGCTACCCAACCAAAAGCACTTAAACAAGAGTGCGCAAGCCATACCAACCTGGACGCTCAACGGGAGCTGCGGTTCAGTCGCCTCCAGTCCGTGTCCTTTGCTGAGCTGAATTCCTTTTCATTCGTGCATTCAGTGGCCAGACGCTGGCTCCAGACGGAGGAAGACACGGCGTGCCCAGCTTGCTCGCCTGGCAGCAGCGCCTTTCAGCTTGTCCCTGCCTGCTCTTCCAAAGGAACCCACCGTGCCGGTGAAGGGCATACGCTCTGGACACAAAATGCTCCCGTCAAGCAGCTCCGTTTGCACTGGGCGGGGTGTAAACACCATGGAGGACAACTTGTTTTCTTAAATGCAACCATAAATAATTGGAATAAATATACACCAAGTCACATTACAGCACACACGTGTTCTGGGCCAGGTGTGCATCGTTCCAGTGCCCCTACATTGTCAAGGAGGGAGCAGGAGCAGCGGGCCGACGGCTTCCTCTTCTATTTTGCAGCTGGCAATGTGGCAACGGAAAGGCCTGTGAGGTATTTGAACGAGGGGTCCCCTGAAGAGGAACCCAGTGCTTCAAGGGAGCAACGGCCCGTCTCGGGGAAGCCCGGCTGTCCACTTGGCGCAGCCCTGAATGTCCTTTGTGAATGGAACCAAGTCAGGTAATGCCCCTTATTCCACCTGGATTCTTTCCTTCGGGTGCTTGTAAACTCGCTGCACAACATGTGTCTTCAGCCGGAATGCATCCTGCCCACTTTGGCCAGGAGATGGGCAAGATGCGGAAGTTAGAAGTGGTGCCTCAGCAGGTGTGTTTGTCTTCTCCCCTGACAATGGAAATTGGACTCTTCACGCGCCGACAGCTAACTCTAAAAACACTTGTATGCATCTTCTCACTCATTCCCTCAAACTCCATCCACACTTCATGCGCCCAATTAATTACCAGTATTCACAGTAATGTACAATAAATACAGCTCTTCCATTGCTACAGACAAGCAAAACTATTGGAATCTTCTCTCCCAGCAGCCTTCGATTCCAGCTGGTAGAGATGCACGTGAGATTTCTGCAGTGCAAAGACCAAGCTTGGAAATAAGCGCCGGCACTTAAACTCACAGGTAGCACCAAGCCAAGCAGGGCCCCCAGAGGCCCTTTCAAGAGTCGGGGGTTGGAGGACCACCCCAAGCTGCCTACTCCAGCACCACAGTCGATGCTTGCCTCACCTTGCGTGGGCCGGGGGGAAGCGGCGTGTGCGGGGCCTGCCTTTCTGAGGCGGGGTGCATCTCACAATGCACCCAGAACAGTCCACCCACCGTGGCTTTTCTGTAGCTTTCCTTTGATGGCAGGGGGAAGCTTTCCCACAATTCCCAGCAAAGCCAACCTGGAACAGAAGGAAGCTACAGAAGAGGAAGGTCAAGTGGATTCTGCCTGGAGTTTTATTTTAGGAGGAAAAGTAAAATGTCCTCTCAGAAATCAGGCAGTTTTCACCTTTCCTCCCTTCTGTTCCTCCCTTGGATGCGACATTTTAACAGAAACCTCTGCTCATTTCTGGGTATAAAAACCTGGCAGTGTTTCTACTATGGAGGCCTGAAAGGCAGGTTTGTTTTAGTTTAAGCCAATTCACTGGGCAGGTTCAAAGGAAGATGAGTTCTTGCAGTATGACAGAAACCCAAAACACGCATCTCGTTGCACTCGGCCTCTTGGGAACCATGAACCGATCTGGTTCTTTGTCAACAAAGCTGTGTGTTCTCACTCCGACCCCTTCCCTGACCAAACTGAGAGCTGCCAGCACATGCCCCTGGAGGTGGGCATGGTGTTAGCAGTTACAGGATGCTGACTGTATGGCCCCGGGAGATGCACAGCTGCCCCATTTCTTTCTCTCTTTTTTGCGCACCGAAATGTCAGTGGGAAGAACACCTCCTTGAAAACCTCATTATTAAATTCCTGCGATTAGCACTCTTCTAAGGTGAAAGAAACGTAAGGATCTTGAGGTTTGTGAATGTCACTCTGTGTACTCAATTCACCCTATAAATACCTCACAGACAAGGCAGCAAAGACAACCCATCCACCACATGAGTCTACAAGTAAGCAACAGAAGGTCCTCTCGGTTGAAGAAGCAAAGGCTTGGAGGAACAGCTCTTGCCTTGGTGACCCTGGGAGACACTCAGCTGAGCAAGGGCTGCCCCAGAGGGCCTCCTCAGAGCGCCTGTACCTTGCCTTCACGTGGGGTGGCTCAGCCGCTGAGAGGGTCCTCACGGTAGTGGATGGCATACCGGAGCTTTTCCAACATTATCTCCAAGGAAGAATACTGTGGGAGTTTGATCATGAACATGCAGGTCTCAACACGGATATAACGTGAGTCCGGAGAACCTGTGAAGAACCACAGGAAAGGAGAGAGACTTATTCTGCTCTCTGGTTTCGTCAAAGTCCTTCGGCCTTTGGGACGCAATTCTTAATCCTCTTTTGTGGATCCTTTGTTGTCCGGAGCCAGGCGGGCTCCCCTTTCAAAGGGCCCCTGATGATTCGAGATCAAAGCAGCTGGTCCACAACTGCCAGAAACAAAAGCCTTCCCAAAACCACCCAAAACAGGCCGGGGACAGTGAATTGGGAGTACCTGAACAGACACGCCTGAGAGAACAGACGCACCATTTTTTAAAACTGTGTTGAAAACCCCCAGGATGCCCGAAAAGCCACCCATACATGTTACCATGTTCTGGCACAAGGGTCTCCTCCGTGCCCCCCCGCCCACCTTTGGTCGGGCAAGTGCCCAGTGCCCCTTCCTCCCTGGAGCAAGCGACACTGCTCCTGCCCCGGGCCTTCCGGAGCGCAGGGGCCAGGTTACCTGCAGTGCCGTCCGGGGGGGCCATCTTCATGGGGTAGGGCGGGACGTGGGCCGTGTCTGGCCCGCCGTCCTTGCAGGGGCAGGTGAAGGGGATGCGCTCCTGGTTGCAGGCAAACTTGATGAACTTGCAGAGCTCCTCCTGGGTGAACATCTCCAGCGCCCCCCAGAAAAACTCGATGTGGGGGTCAGTCTCCATCAGTCCCACCTGGTACATGGTGTGGGCCTGGTCACGGGAGAAGACGGGGGGGGGAGAGGGGGGCCCATTACAGCACGTGTGCTCATGCGCTTGAGGCGCCACGGAGCTTTCTTTCTCAGCAAACTCCTGGGGTGACGTCCGCTGTCCCCCCACCACTGCGAGCGACGTTCTGGCAGGCGCCGGTGTCACCCAAGGCCGTCCCGCCGCAGCCTCCGGGCACCGCTTGGCGCAGTCTGTGGGGTGGGGCAGAGCGAGCTGCCTGTGCCCTGACGTGCGGGAAGGGGCGTGTTCGGGGGGCTGCTCGCTCTGCAGCAGCTGCCGGTTTCAGCCCCCCCGCCCCGCCCCGGCCCGCCCTACCTTGAGGAACTCCAGGTTGATGTAGGGGAGCCCACACGTCCGCAGCTCCATCTCCAGCGGGGTCAGCATGGTCAGGAGCTGCAGCGGGATAATGGAGCCCAGGCCGGCCCTCACGGCCATCACGCTCTCGGGCGTCTGCAGCTCGCGGAGCCTCAGGCCTCGGATGGCCGCGGCGTAGACGTCCTTGTTCTCCCACCTGGGGGAGGGGATGAGGCACCCCGATGTCTGGGGGAAGACTCCTGCCCCTGCCCTCGGACCCCCGGCTCCTCTCCCATCCTGCAGCCCCGGCAAGCACCCCCAGGGAGCCGCTCCCTGCTTGCCTGGCCCGCGCGCTCGGGAGGGCGCCCCCCGCTCTTCGCCTGCCGCCCCCGGCCCCGCCACTCACACGACCGGGATGTGCCTGCCCCGGGCACACAGCTCCACCTCCTCTCCCGTCATTGCCAGGTAGGTGAACTTGCAGCTGGGCTTGCTGGGGCAGTCGGGGCTTTCCATGGCGAGATGCTGCGACGCCATTTCAGCACACAGGGCCTCCAGCTCCGTCTCGTCGGTGACCTAGGCGGCAGCAGAGGGGACGGTGGCTGGGTCTGGCTTGGCTGCCCCCTTCCAGGCCAGGGAGAGCTGCGGGCAAAGGCCTCCGTGCTGCGCCTCGCCTGACCGCAACGCACCCCTGCAGCGCCAGCATCAACGGGCTCCTGGCTGACCCGGACGGAGGGGCCCATCTGCGTTACACAGACTCACACGGGCTGCTGCTTATAATAAGCTCTAGCCTAAATGCGTTTTATACTATGCCTCATTTTAGTCGTGATGCTTCTGACACGAACACAGAAGAAAGAATCAACTGCCACGGAGGCTGGGGAAGGGGAGATGATGTCATGACAGACTCACGTTCTCAAATTTTTTGACATAGTTGTAGGTCAGTATGTCGGCCTCCTGGAGGTCACCGTCGGGATCCAGCGGTTCTCCTACCAGGGTCTTCCAAAAGGAGGGCAGGAGGTCCAGGGGCAGGGGCACGTCTGCCCGAATGGCAATCCCCAGCAGCTGCCCAAAGAAGTGGAACAGCTGCTCCTCCCCGTAGCTGATGGGGCTGGGCGTCAGAATGTACTTGCCCTGCAACGGGGGTGGGGGGGGGGGACAAACAGCATTAGCCTGGGAAGCAGCGTCTCTCCAGGCGCAGGTGCCCTTTTCTGGCTATATCTGCTCCCCCGCTTTCCGCGAAACGCTGCTCTAGGCTCTCCGGGAAAGAGCCGTACTGACTCCACAGCAGGCCAGCGGGAGTCCGGCCTCCCTTCCTGGGCAGGGGCGAGAGTGCTCCTCCAGGGCGGCTTCACAAGGGCGAGGCTGCGCTCTTGCCGGCCGTGTCCGCGCAGCATACCTTGTTCTTATTGACCGCCGAGCTGGGACACAGCAAGAGGAGGGACAGCAGCGAACTCTGGAGCTCCTTGCAGACCTGCCACAGGAAGTGGCGGAAAGAGCCACCTGCAAGAGACAGGGACGGGGTCACCCGTCCGGAGCGGAAAGGCGAGCCACGCCACAAGGAACTCTTCAGCTTGCGCAGAGGACTTGGGCTCAGCGGGGCTTGGAGTTCGTAGCCCTCCGGACGGGCGGCCTCAGCGGCCAACTCAGTTTAGTTCAGGCTGTGCTGCTGGAGCGACCTGTTAAACCGGGGGTGGGCCAGGCTCTGCTCGTGGCCCCGGCCAACCCGCTACCAAATTTGCACAAGCAAGGGGCATGCGCTTGGTTCTGAACTAGAATCACACTCCCAGAAGTGTCTGCAGAGTGCAATTTTATTTTAAGATACGGCAGGCAGTTAAGCACTGTGTGCCCAAGATCCTTCACAAGAGCAAATTTATTCAAATTGACCAGGCAATGCCCTCGCTAAGTGCGCAAGTAAACGGGAAAGGAGCGACGGCTCGTGAGGGTGGGGGTGGGGGTGGGGAGCGTGCCCGGGCGCCTCCACAGCCGAATTTTGCACAGCGCGTTTCCGGTCCGCTCTTCCAAGCACTGCTCTCCTGTGGCTTTGCCGCACGGCTGCTGTGGATGGCGCCTCTGGTAGCAAGGGATGGGAAGTCAGGGCGCTTACTTGTGCCATGGACCTCCTCGCCGGTAAAGCGAATGTTGAAGGCGTACGTGGGGTCCCCTCCACTGGCCAGCTTCACACAGAGCTGTGAGGACGGGACGCACGCCAGCTGCCGGGCGGCCTGGCAGAAGTAGGAGTTTTCTGCAGAACGGATCTCCCCTGTTTGGGAGCAGGGAGAGGGAAGAGAAGGAACCGTGAGGCTCAGCCGGCAGGAGCCCAGTCCCATCCATTCAGGAACCGCCTCTCCATCCAGGCCGCCCCGTCAGCCCCAGCAATTTTCCGCAGGCACAGCAGGCACCTCCAACTATTTCCAGGGGGTCCAGGGTGATCTCGGGGGCGGCGTGATCAGCTGTTCTTTGCACAGTGGCATTGAGCACTCTGTTCATGACAGTCACTTTTGTGTCGTAGAAGATGAAGCCTAAGTACAGAGAGGCAACATGCGGTGTCAGAACGCCCCGTCCTTGAGACCGTGCCCCGGCTCAGACCACGCAGGAGAAGGGCAATCCAGAGGCCAGCCCCAGGACAGGCACCGCTTCCGGGGCAGGTTCAACCTGTGCTCGACTGCCTAGATGCCATGGCCGCCTGCAGAAAGGGGTCCGCCCCTTGGGAGGCCAACCACGCCGTGCCTCTCCCGGTGGGGACGCCGAAGGGATTCGGCATCCGATCCCACTTCGCCCGGCCGCACGGCTCGCGCCGAGCCCTCACCCTTGGCCTCCTGCAGCAGTGCCGCGATGCTGTTGCTGTACATCTCGGTCTGCCGGAGCTCCACCAGGGGCAGGAAGAACGTCTCCAGGGTGGTGTTGAGGGACTGCAGCAGCGCGAAGCGCAGGCGAAGGCTTTCGATGGGCACGTCTGCAAGTGAACGCAGCTGTCGGGAGGCAGGAAGTGGGGCGTGGCAGAGCAGGCAACGGCCCGTCCGGGCACCCAGCGCCCCTCCTCGACTCAGGCGCTCCCAAAGGCCGCCTCGCGTCCCGCACCCGGGAGGAGCACCCCCAGCCCCCCACAGTGCGCAGCAGCAGACATACGCAGCAGGCAGGAGACGCGCGGGTCGGCCGTGTCGGCGGGGTCCAGGTACACTTCGTGCGGGTGCAGCCGAGCCGGGGTGATGGCCAGGTGGCGGCACAGGCGGTCAATGTACTGGACCAGGGCGACATCCATCTCCAAGGACCACTTCCGGGAGGCCTTCTGAGCGTGCCGGGCGTCGATGCAGGCACATCTGGGGAGCAGCAGAAGGCGCGGCTGGGAGAGCGGCACAGGCACGTACCTCAGCCAGCCACGCTGGCGCCAAGGCTCTCGACGGGAGCCTCACAAGACCGGCCCCGTGGCCGGGCAGCTGCTCACCACGTGCCACTCATCTCCCCTGCTGCAGGAGGGGGAGGGGGGGGGAGATGCGTGCACACGGGCGGGGAGGGTCATTTCTTACCTTTCAAAGTGAAGGTCGTAACCACAGGACAGAATGGCCCGCCACACACTACGGATATCCTGCTTTGCCCGATCGATGACGAATCGGTGAAATCCGTCCAGCGTCAGGTACTTCTCCTCCGGAACTGAAACGATTTATCCCCCCAAGTATCCAGTGAGTCACAGGAGCACTTTCCCTCCCACTCCGAGAATGCAGGCAGCCTGCTCCGCGTTTCTTCCCCTGGCAAACCCAGCCTCCCTTCCGCCTAACCGAGCTCTCCGCAGGGCCCTCCGCGAGCTCTTAAGCCGGGCCGTGAAGCCACGCCGACGCCTGCAAAGGAGCCAAAGGAGAGCGATCCAGAGCGCGCCGTGGAGGCAGCTGCGAGCCGGGAGACTCGCCGGATCCCGTGAGGCAGAGAGCTCTGCACCAAGGACATTTCTCCGCAGGCCGGGCAGGAGGACACGCAGCTACCCACCCTCCTGTTTCTTTGCTGGAGACTTGTCAGGGTCTTTGTCCTCGGGCTTACTTTTCTCTGGAGATTTGGGCTTCACCATGGGCTTCTTCTCACTCAAAGCCGTCCTGCTAATACAGGGGAAAGGGTCACAGCAGAGAAAACATTTGCCCTGCGTCCGCATGAAGCCTGTCCGCAGGGCAGTCCAGTGTTCCGAAACTTTGCCTGCAGCCCCAAAGTGTCCGGCCTGTGTGCTACCGACTGCGGTCCCCACGTAGTTCTCCTGAGGTCACCCCGCTCTTGTAAAAATGACAGGGGCCAGAGGAAAAGCCTGCCTGAAGCCACCACTTCTGACCCCCTAACCTTATTCTTTGCTGAATCTGCCTATTGCTCAGCTGACGCAAAATGCTCTGGACGTGCTCAGGAGAACTCTCCTTCCGCTGGCCAAGAGACACCCAGGGTAAAACCAGCCTCTCTGACTGGAAGCGCAGCATGCCACGGGGTCTGGAGCAGGAGCGATGGGCTGCCTCCTCACCCCATGCTGAGGCCTTGGCTCACGGCAGTCCCGCGAGCCGCCCAGGGGAGTGCTGGCGTGGCGAACCGAGAGCATGCGCGCTGCACCCATGGCGGCCCGGCCCGGCCCGGCCGGGGCGTCCCGAAAGGCGCACCACTCACCTGACACTGTTGAGCACGGCCTTCTCCTTGGCCGGGGGCTTGGTGACGGGCCGTTTGCTGCTCACGACCTTCACCGGGTGCTGCTCTTTGCCCGCCTTGTTGTACTTGGCCTTGTCAAACTTTGGCTTGGGAGCCCCGTATTTCCGCAGGATCTTAAAAAGCACAGAAGAAAAGAATGGGTGGGTCTGGAACCCGGGGCCAGGGGAGCTTCCAGACGAGGCTTCTACTGCGCAACCCCCCCGCCTCCTTTACGGGATTTAAGCCGGGCGGGGGGGCAGACGTCATCGTCCTCCATGTCTAGGCAGAAGAGAAGGTGGAAGCAGCGCTGGGAGAACACAGGAGGATGGCAAGGGAGTCACGGGGCCGCGTGGCCCCTCCCCAGGCGAGTGCGAACGAGCGGCGGCCTTCTCCAACAAGCCCTCGCCTGGAAGCAGCCCCAGGGGCTGCGAGGGGGTGGACCCCCTCCAAGAGAGGCACGTCCCCTGCACTGACCGGGAGGGCCCTGCCTGTGGCACCGGGAGAGGGGGCCGCTCTCGGGCCGGATCGCGTCCCTCGGTGGGGGAGAAGGCTGCGCTGCTGGTGGAGGCCTGCATCGAGGAGGCGGAGCAGGCCGGCCCACGCGCCCCACTGTTTCCTTCAGCCTGACCTACCCTACAGGGCTGGTGTGCACTACCCTCCGCATGTCAGAGGAAGGATGGGATGCCTAGTAAGAGCGAACAGCCACCGGGACCCCACTTTCGAGGGGCGGGGGTTGTGGGTCACGCCACGGGACACAGAACAAGCACAGACACGCGACTGGTTCGTCAGGGCAGCCCCGTCGCTCTGGGAGAGAAGGTTTCATGCCAACCTGGGTGAGCTGATCCTCAAGGACCTTCTTTGGGGGGCGGACGTTGGTGAAGAAGGTGTGCAGCAGGTTCCCGGGCGTCTGGGCATTGATCTGCTCTTTGCTCAGGTAAATCTCGGCCACTTTGGTGGGCTTTGCCGGCGTCAAGCTCAGCATTTGCTCAGAGTGGAGGCAGCTTTTAAATATCTCAGTGAGGACGTCGCGAGCACCCGGCACAAGTTTGTCACCTGAGGCAAGTCAAAAGGACAAGAATGGCAAGAGGATCGCTCAAAAGTCACATCAGCTCTAAGCAGTTTTCTTCTTGTTCAAGCCACAGTTGGAACCACCTGTTTTAACCTGGGCGACACGAGATTCGGACTGGGTCCTTCCAGACAAGGCTTTGACTAGGCAAGCCCCCTGGCTCATTCGCGGAGTTTTTAAAAGGGGAGGACAGGTGTCTTCCATTTGTAACCCTCCTGTGTTTTCCCACATTCCTCTCCTTTGATTCCTCTGACCACAGAAAATCCATAAAGGAGGAAAAGGCACGATAGCTGCACAATCTCTTTGGACGGGGAGTGTCAGGAGCCCTCCGTCTGGAAGCATCCCAGTGCTGAATTCATTCACCACTGACTGCATTTTTTGATACCAGAACCTCCTGTGTTTTTCACGGTCGCCTGTTGAGCAGAGGCACGGCACTGCTATCAGCCTGGTATCTGGTGCATGCGCGCGCGCACACACACACACACACACACAGAGGGGCACATGCAAGGTGCATCCTGAATGTGAAAGCACGCCCACCTTTGATGGTCTTGTCGTTGAAATAGTCTTCGAGTGCCGGGCTCCCCTGGGTGTCGAACAAGCTCTGGTTCACAGTGGAGACGGTTAAAATCTCCTCTGTGGACATTTCCATGAGTTCGTCTTCCCCGTCCAGGCTCGACAAACCAATCAGATCGCTGCTGTTAAATAAGCTGGCACGAATCTTCTCTATTTTGGCCCGGGATCTTATCTTTGTTAAAAAAAAAAAAAAGACACAGCCATTCATGTGTGACTTTGAAGGTAAGGAAATTCATGGACAATCAGTGAGCATCAATTCTTTTGCTTCTGCAACACTCCATTCCCAACCCATCTGGCACTTCCAGCCTTCCCTCCGATCTTCTTCCAACCTCCCTGTCATTTTCAAATTCTGAAAAAAGAAAGGAAACCTCAAGAGCAAGAACCTTGAATATTACGCAAACAAAGTAAGCTGCTTCATCACTGTGGTGCATTTTAAGCTACGCAGCAATGTAAGCAGCAGCATGTGCTTTGAAAAATGCCACATCTAACCTTCTGGATGAGATGCCACGAAAATCTGCTGCATAAAACAGCAAAAAGCTTTGGCTCACTGGCTACCCAAGTCTGGGTTTCCTTTCACAGAGCAAGGGTGCGTAAGAAGTCACGCAGCTGGTCAGCTGGGCTCTTGCACTGACCCGAAAGGCTCTGGATGTGACAGATAACAGACGAGCGTCATGGAAGGGACCCACGCCGTGCCGACTAATGTCCCATCTGAATCTTGCAATTACTCTTTTCCTCCCGTTCCCAGTCCGGCGGAAGGGATGTGCTGCGCTGCTCAGTGCGCACAGCTGCTTCGGGCAGCCGGGCAGGTGCGCTAGAGCAGCAAGTGCAGTTCTCTGTACACTGAATTCAAGCTGCTTTGGACATGTGTTACGTCAGCAGACTTGGAACTATCCAGCTTTGGTTGCTGAAAACACTATTTAACGAAAAAGGCACCCGTACAACTACGATCCAGCAGTCCAGTCCGGACAAAGCCCCAGAGAGCTGTTACCTCCACTACTGCAAAGCCCTTGATGGGCCTCGAGGGGACTGGCTGGCTGTCCAGCGACGTCACGGTGTACATCGACCCGACGTCCGAGACGGAGGCTGCCTCCACGTTGTCCAGCGGCTCCCCAAGGCTGCCCAGGCTGCCCAGACTCCCGGTGCTGCAGAGGGAAAGGTCCAGGCTGTCCTGGCTCGACACCACGTGGGGCTCCAGCAGGCTGGGTGGGATGGCCATCTCCAGGGCACTTTGGAACTGGTCCACGGAGATGTCGCTGACGGTCCGGGAGATGCCCTGCGAGCTGCAGAGGGAGGCCTGGCTGGTCGAGGCGGAGGCGCTGACGCTCATGGCCGGCGTGACGCTGCTGGAGCTGCTGACGTCCAGGCTGTCCACGCTGCTGGAGACCACGACCTTGTCCAGTTCCGTCCTACACTCCCCCCCTTCCGCCTTGTCCCGGGCCTTCTTCGGATCCTCCTCCTGCACCGGGATGTAGATCTCGTCCTTGAAGACGCCGCCGTGTGCGTTGCAGGCCTTGCGGATGGCGATCCGCACGACGCCCTCCTCAAGGTGCGTGGGGATGCCCGAAATCACCAGCAGGCGGCTGTGGGCAGTCGCCCCGACCAAGGCTTGGCAAGCGTCTGCCACGGCGTCGTTGGTCACCCCCAGGCCCTGAGGGTCCTTCTTAGTCAGGTGGCGGAGGATGATGAGCAAGGTAAGGGCCCGGTGGAACCACAGCATGTCCTCCGGCTTGCTCCCGCCGATGCTCAGCAGGGCGGCGTCGGCATCAGTGGTTCGGGGCGAGGTCCGTTTCCCCGAGGCCGACGTCTTCTCCCGCTTCATCTTCACCTTCTTCCGCTTTGACAGGAGGCTGGGGCTCTGGGGTGTCTGCCCGGGGGAGGAGGAGGAGGAGGAGGAGGAATCACTCAGGTGTGGGCCGCTCGTTGATGACATGACGTTGGCGGTGATGCTCATGTTGATCGGCAGGGTCACTTCTGCCACAGCCAGGCAGACCTCCATCAGCGCGTGGAAATAGGTGGAAAATCTCCCCTGGTCGGCTCCTCCTGCCCCGGCCGCACCACAGGCGTTCCCAGACACCCAGTTCTGGGTTTCTTCATCATACAGCTTGTGCAGTTCTGACTGGAGGGCCATCAGCATGGCCAGGCACGGGTTGAGCTGGAGGGCAATGGAGGAAGACAGGCCTGTCGGAGTCTTCTTCTGCTCTAAGCCGTGGATTTTGCGAAGCAGTTCCGCCAGGAGGTGGAACAGCAGCTCCTTCACGCAGGCCGCCATGTTGGTCGTCCACAGGAAATTCCCTAGAAATGTTGCAACAGAACGGCCAGAGTCAGGCCTTTGCAAAAATGGTCGACAAGAGTGGTGGACTTGACAGCAGAATCTGTACCCGTTTAACATTGGCTTGAGTGTTCAGCTCTGGAGGCAGCGTACAGCTCAGTCCTAGAAATACGCTTTTGAATCGAGGCAGCAGAAACAGCCCCATCCTCAGTGAGGGGGGCAGCCAGGCATTAAGAGAAAGCTTGGGGTCCTGGCTGGAGCCAGCTCCTGGGTGACTTCAGACCCAGGCCTGGCACGTGCCTCTGCCCAAAGAGCTTGGGAAGCCCCCTGCGTGACAGAGGTCTGCCGGGCCTCTCTGCCAGCCTAACGGGATGTGTGGCCTTCCTGCCAGGACTGACCCCTGACACCTCGATCCCACCTGGATGCCGCAGTGCAGCAGCTCGGGACGCTCGGGCTGCCTCGGCCGCGGCGGCTTCCTGCGCAGCCCTGCATGGTGGCCCAGCAGAGCCGGCTTCCCCCTCCTGGCTGTGCCGCCTCACCTAGAATCTCGACCACTTGCAGGAGCACCGAGGCAGGGATGGTCTCCAGCTGCTCTTCGGACTTGCCCTCGCAGTCCTCCAGTTTCCCGGCCAGCAGCTGTTCTGCGAACGCCAGGGCCAGCGGGAATTCCAGGGGTAGGGAATGCAGGACAAGCACCGCTCCAGGCGGGGGAGACACACCTTGAACGAGAACCACGGACATGGAGTCCCCGCTACCGCTTGCGCCTGGCAGTGGTGTGCTATCGTCAGAAAGGGCGCGAACCAAAAGCTCTGGGGGAAACGCAGGCTGAGTCATCCTTCCCCACATCCAGTTCTCCCGTCTTAAAACCCTTGAGCCGGACACGCTCTGGGAATTCTCCAAAACAAGGTCTAAAGGGGAAGACTCTCCCTCCTTTTCCCCACTGCCGGAAAGCTTCTCCAGCCGCTGGCGGAAGGTCTGCTGGCGCCTCAGCCCTGAAGCAGCCTTCATCAAGCAGGCATGGGATGCCACCTACCGGAGACTCCCACTCCGCATGCAGGCTGGGAGATGCTGGGAACTGCAGCCCGATCGGATTCGTCCCTAGGACCTACCCAGTTTGATGTGGATTTTGTCTGCAGAAATGATGACCGCGGGATACTGGTTCGTGGTGGGGGGCGGGGTCAGGCCCGTGTTGGCTGGGGACGCATCCCGAGGGTAGCACACAGCCTCAATGAGGTTCAGCTGGCCGTTCCTCTTTACTTTGTGGCCAAGGCCATAGACCAGGATCCGGGCCCAGGGGGCCTTGTACAGGGAGGAGCTAGGACAAAGGGAGGAAAGAAACAGGGTGGGTGCTGGGCGTGATCAGGCCATACGTCATTTTGGCCACCGTACCAAGTTTCCCTTCCTAGGAGCCGAACAGCCCAAACCCAGAGCAATGGGCCTGGGGATATCCCCGAACGCTCGCTCTGTCGTCACTCAGGGACACGTACTCTTTGCGGAATCCGGACTGGCTTTCCTTGCAGGACACGACCACAAAGGCTGCCCCAGGGAAATTGACGTCCATGCTTACTTTGGACTCGGAAATGGGAAACTCCTCCGAGGGGAACTGCTCGGGAGCATTCTGCAAGTGGAATGTGAAGAGAGTCAGACCCGAGTTCGAAAATGCAGCTGGCCTGCCTGCCTTTCTAAACGGATACAACACAGACACACACGTTTTGTGAAATATTTAAAGGATTAGACTAACGAGGACCTGAAAGGGGGGGGATCTTGCCTTCCCCAAAACATGGGGGGGGGGGTATAAGTACAAAACCATGATAAGCAGGTGATTCCCACCTCGAGTTTTCCAGTGCTCATGCGTGTGGGCGAGGCTTGCGGGTGGGGAGGCAAAGGCCAGAGCAGGCAGTCCCGCCGGGCCCCCGGAAGCGCTCCGGAACCGAGCGGTGCCAGACTGGGAGGGCTCCTACTGCCACTAGGGCGCATGGCCTCAGGCAGCAAGCCTCCCCTCTCTTGATGGATGTTCCATGACAAGGAAACAAAGGCGGAAGCCAAGGTGGAAAATCACAAGAAGAGCAGGAGTGGAAGTTGTCACTGGCTGGGCCTTCTGTAAAATCCCGTGAACGAGGCAAGGAGATAGTGAGAAGTGCCCGGCCTGGAAGCGGCACCCCCATGCCTCTGCTCAGGACAGGGGCCAGAAGCAGGCGCCTTCCTACCGGGCACTGCGCTTCTCTCCTGTGCTTTGGAAGCGCTTTGCGCCTCTGTCTACCACAGAGCTTTCTCTGATCTGCTCTACATAAAGCAAATAATTGGCACAGTAACCATGATGGTTTAGCCAGGAAAGAGAGGCCAAAGTAGCTTTCAGGGTGCCATTTTATACCAAAACCAACATAATGTGAATGGGGATGTGTTCAACGTACCTGCAGGAAGGAACAGATCTGTTTGGTCAGATCGAGCAGGCTGTCCTCCCCCTGATGGAGGCTCCGAGTGATGGCAACGGTAAGCCACTCTTGGACTGTCTGGGAACCACCCTGGTAGAAGAGGTCAGTGGCGGAGCAGTTCTGGGAATGGATGCGGTGCTGCAGGGACTGGGCCAGCAGGATGGAACTGGAACTGATGGTCCCATCTGCCAAGGGACAAGGGCAAAAACACAACTGTCTTGGGATGCCCGCCTTCTCTTGCGCTCTCAGAACATTCGGACAAACTGGTATTGTGCTCACCGCTAGGGCCTAACTATCCCGGAGACAGCTGTGTTAATCTCTGAACCCTGGACCACAGAGCTTTGGCGGTGCAGAGGTGCAACAAACAAATGCACACAAAAGGGCCCCCACACGCACGTGCGCTCTTCCACATGGCTTGCACTCACGGATGGGGGTCATCAAGCCTCCCCGTAGCAAGAGCAGACAAGGAGATGTGATTCCAGAAGTGCCCTCTTACCAGGGAGCGGTGGTGCAAGCAGCTGACTGGAGAGCAGCTGGAGATGTTCCAGAGTGATGTCCCGGACGGCAGGGATGTGAAACAGATGCGTGAACATGTGAGGAGATTTGGGAGCAAAAATGTTGAGCAGAGCCACGCGGCAGTACAGCCTGGCAAGGGCAGCTTCGCAGCGCAAAAGTTCTCTGCCAAAGGAGACATAAAGAAAGTACACATTGCAGGCACTTCAGGCAACGGACGGCGTGCAGACAGAATACCTTGCTCTGATCCAACGGCACAAGTTTGTTGATCTTAAACCATAAAGCATCGAGACACATGAATGCAGAGCAGCTCCATCAACTGGAAATCTGGCCCTGTTCAGACTGCAACATCCCATGTGGGCATCTTCTACGCTGCCAGCAGCTCGTGGAAAATATAACAAAATATCGGGTGTATTTTTATACCACCCAATGCAATCTCCCACTCCACAAGTGACATGCATATCAACCTGGAAAGGTAGAAACATTTAATGCCACCAAGGGATGCCTTTGGAGGATGAGTTTTTGAAATAACCAGACACACTGCCTGGTTATGGCCGACTGCCAGGATCAGGTCAGCGAAGGAAGCCTCCCTTTCAAGATACGGGGGCCCTCCTCCCTCCCTCTGAACATGCTCTATGCACGCTGCATCGCAAGGGCTCCGTTCCAGCATCTGGCGCCTTGCAAAAATACACATTTGGCGCTGCAAAGTACACATTTATTCATTCAACAAGGTCACCCTGCGCAAACTGCTGTCCCTTTTTTTCTTTGAAGCAGGGAGGGAGAAACCACTGCTGACGAATGGGCCAGATCACAGCGATCGGAGGAGGAGAGAGCAGCCTTCTCCCAGCGGACACCTGGACGGTTCCTCGACTGAATCTCCATTTACCTGTGGACCTGGATGTTTGAATTGTCCAGGGAAACTAGCCCATTTGTCGCGGTCCTCCTGTAGCCAGCGGGTGGTCGTTCGAGCATGTCAATGGGGTACCAGTATCTTACCAGCACACCTTCGCTCCTGAGGTATGTCTCAACTTGGACAAGTTCGTTCACCTGAAATGACAAGCCCCGCCGATTATCATCTGATGATGTTCGAGGCCTCGCGGCAGAGCGGGCCCAAAACGCCACAAGCCTTCCCTCCAGATTTAAAGGGAGCTTCAACTTGCCGAATCCACATCTAGAACGACTCCGTGGAGCCCAAACGTCTTCAGCATCCCCCGGATAGCGAACTTCGGCAGTGCTGTTCCCACGGCGTTGCTGGCCACGTTGTTACTGTCTGGGCAGCGGGTGACGACAGCGAGACCTGGAGCGACGAGAAGGGCACCAGGCTCTCAGACTGAGGCAGCCGAGGGAGTGTCGTTAAGCCCGGTTTAGACAAACCGTCCCGTGACGGAGCAGCCGGCGCCCACGCCCCCCCCCCCACAACCCACGGCTCGCTGCTGGAGGGTGTGCTTGCCACGTTGTGCTTGCAGGGCTGCAGTGCGATACGAGGGGAGGAGAGCGGTAGGAGGCAGGGGCAGGGACTTCGCGCTCAGGGGAGGCAGCGGCGAAAGCCTGGTAGCTCTGCTGCTGGTTCTTCTTTATACACGTCCACGTGTGGCAACCTCAGAGTGGGGGCTTTTGTGTATGAATGTGCCGTTGCAGAACACACACAGCCTTGCCTGCTTCTCAGAAGCAGCCAGTCTGCTCCATTTCGAGTCACCCTGCATGGAGTCAGGGCCTCATCCTTCATCTAATCGGAGGAGCGAAGGCCAAAGACCGTCCCCCAGGCCCACATTCCGAAACCACGGCCAGAGGTGTACCTTTTCGAACTTTATCGATGGTGAACTTATTGGCTTCATCTTTGATGTCCTCAATCGTGGGAAGGTACAGGTCTCGGGGAATGCCCCCGTTCTCTTCATAGAGGAACTCCACTGTTTGCCGAGCTATATCAACCATTCCTGAAACAAAGATGAGCAGCCAGCTCAGGGTCGGCATTCCTCCTGCTTGAATAACCAGGAACAAGACATCTGGAAATGGCTAATTGGTTGCTACAGGCCAACATTTCTAGTAGACAGGAAAAATGTCCCATGGCTCATAGTTCCTTGCCCTACCCAGGGTTTGTCTGGCAGATGATCTAACAAACCATGGTGTGTTTTCTCTGTCCCTAGGTTGACTTCTCACCTCCTCCTTTGCTGCATCCCTGAATCCCAACTGCCTTTGCAGTACTGCGGTACTCACATGTAAAGAGGCTGGGTTTTGACTGCTCTTGCCTGTTGCTGTGTAGCCTGGCAAAACAACCCATAGACAACCTACGATTTGGGGTTTGCACAATACTAAGCCCCATGGTTTAAGCAACCAGCAGTTCACAACCCAACAAACAAGCCATGGATTCTCTTCACAGGTTGTTCATTAAACCTACAATTGAACAATCCATGGTTAATTAAACCATAGGTGCTGTTATGTAGAAACCATGTCAAGGGCACATACACATGGAAGAGCAAGGGCGTCAGTCTACGTATTAATAACAACACTACTATCTCCATACCCAGTTGTAAAGCTCCTTTAATTTGGTCCAGCCCAGACTTCCTCTCTGCTTCGTTGCGGAATCGTCTTCTAATTGTAGGGAAAACTTTGGTCTCCCAGGCTTTGACTAGCAAGGCGTAGTGATCCTCCTAGGAAGGGAAGGCAAAGATGGCCACGTCAGATTTAGGAGGACCCATGGTCCGGCCAGCTTGGTCAGGTGCACCGCGAGAAGTGGAAGGCTTTAACTGGAGGAGCTGAAGGCAGATGCCTCCCCGACGTGACACATGCGATTCAACTCTGATCGACACGCCCCACCTCTGGGCAACCCACGCCCAGGTTGTCCATGCTCTGTAAATTAGGATTCCAAGAAAAGACCGATCCTTCACTCCACGGGTTGTGCAAGCTGCAAAGTGGGGAATGACGCTCCCGTGCGTGCACTGTGGGCACCCTGAAAAGATGGAGGAGCGTTCCAAGGGAGGAGCTCCACAGGTCTGCGGAAGAAGGACCTCTGGGTGCTTGTTTGATGCAGGGGAGGGAGGACAATTTATCCAGGAAAGTGCTCCTCCCCTACAGGAGAAGTACGGAGTTTCTGGGATTGGGAGCCAGCTGCGAGATTGCTAGAAAGGGAGAGGGAAGAAGCAAGGCCGTGCTGATGGCAACCAAACTGCTGAGGGAATCCAGGTGCTGAGACCCCCGGCAACCGATACTCGCATGAGAGCTGTGGAGGATGGAACACCAGATGGAGACGGGGCTCTGACAACCCTTTTCTCCAAAGCAAACTATTCCAGGCTTCGGCAAGATTTGGGAAAAACTCCCGCATTTACTGGTACTGCATCCAATCACAAGAAGTTAAGTGAAATTTGGAACTTCTGTGAAAGAGCAGTTTATAAGAAAGGGGGCACAAGATGTGTGGAAGGATCAAGATGAACGCTCAGCCTCGATCACAAATGCCGGCATGTTCGCATGGAGGCACCCCAGTGGCCACGCGCACGCGTGCAGCTACTCCAGCCAACGGCCGCCTCGTGGGGCTCACCCGCGGGATGTCGTCGTCGTCGTCGTCGTCGCTTTCGTCATCTGCGATGGGAGGGGGGTGTGGCTCTGGGCCTGACGTGATGAAGTTCTCGTAGCTGAGTTCCATCTTATAATGGCAAGAGGTGTCACTGTCGTATTCTGCAGCCAAGCAAAACACAAACACGCAAAGAAAAGCATGAGGGGAGGAACGTGCCATCAATGCGACTGGCCGCGATGACTTCCTTGGCCTGGCCTTCCACATGACGACGCGAGAGGCGGCACCCTCAGTTCAGGCGCGCCAGCTTCAGAACGCCTTCCGGCCCCCATAGATGGTTGCTGCCACACCGCACGGGCTTTTGGCAGCAGCTGAGCCCCTTCTGGCTCGCTCGGACACTTGGCTGATTTCGTTTTATGGCACTGCACAAGCTGTTGGTGTTACTGTTCTCTCCTATTTGGTTGTGGTTGATTTTCAGGGCCTGATGTGCGCGGTACTTTTATTGTGTTTTGCTAGTGATGAAAAGCAAGCCAGGGGTGCAACAAACAAACGAACGAACGAACGAACATTCCGATGTAAATTCCCCTGCTCAACGTGCTTTGGACAAGGGGGGCTGCAAAAGCGGTGCCGAGCTGGGGAGCTTGCCCTGTATGGGGTCAGCTAATTCAGCCATCTGTCCCAGGACCGCCCCTCCCAGCTGGCTGCAGGCTACCCGGGATTCCACGTGGAGGAGGTCTGCTCCCTCCTCCAGCCTGAGTCCCCTGAAGTGCAGGTGCCGCAGACCGAAGAGGGGACAGATGCGTGTATGGAAGGGGCTTCACCACTGCGTTATGGCCACCCCCCTCAAATGACGGGGGAAGGATCATTTGCATGACCTAACTGGGCAACTCTTAAAAGCTGGGCTGACCTACCAATGGAGACAGAGAGGGCCTGGATGGAGGCATCTGAGGAAAACTTACGCTGCTGAGCAGTGGCCACAGCGGCGATCCTGCAGGGAGGCCCGTGGGTGCCGGGGTCAGAGGCGGTGCTGGTGCCGGCGTCGTTATCGCTATCGGACGCCGTGGCAAAAGGCAGCACATCAAAGTTAGCGCTGATCTCTTCTGCAAGGTCAACGCAGAGGTCAGCGGCGTTCCGGTGAGCTTGGCCTTCTGGGTAGGCAAACTGTCGGGACCCAAAATTGGCTCTGACTTTGGTGTTCTGCAAGACCACAAGCACACGACAAAAGGGGTCACCCTGTGGATTGCTGCTGCTCCATGAGAAAGGGGCCCTGCTCTGTACAGCTTCATACACACCTCTCAGGATGAGGTTTTTGCTGCATGACAGACAACACAATATTAAAAAGGTAACAGTGGCACTCAGCACAGTGCAGTTAGTATCAAAAGGGATACTAACATTAGAAAGAAGGAATGTCTCAAACACCAAACGAAACTTACTCCTTTGTGCAATGAATAATGCATCTATTTATGTCAATTACTTCTCGCTTGATTTTTAGTTCCATCAGATTCCCAAAGCACAACACAATGATGATTTCAAGAAAATGAACAGAAAGAGAGAGAAAATTAAACCATGCACTGGCACTGAGTCAACCAACCAAAACACCAGCCAGGAAAAGGGCAGTTTAACACAAGAAGGTTCTGAAAGGGCAAGCTAGAAAGCGAACGCCTTTATTTTCTCCATGGTACCAAGAACCAAGATATGTCACTCCTGCAGCTAATATCAACTGCTGAACAGAGTCTGGGGAGCCCAAGTTTACCTGGGAATGTTCCAGCTCTCACCCCTGATGTGTGGGGGTTCCTTAAGGTTACCCAGCAGACAGAAAGCAAGCACAGAGGTACATTCCATAATGGATACTTCACTCATTCAAGGCATTAAAAACAGGAAGCTGAGCTAAGCTCAGGGGAACTCTGGCTTGGGGAGAGATGCTGTTTAACCTGCCTTCTTCTGGATATGCACGACAGGCCACATGCCCCCGGACACGTCTTCCAGGTAGGGCCCCAGCCGCTGTCCGCAGTACGTGAAATACACCCTGCCTTTGGCTGGCTGCCCGGGAGGGGGAGGGGTGCCTTCCGCCCTTTCCCAGCCGATGCCTGCAATGTCACCTGGAGGAAAGGAAAGGCAAAGTGGCGAGAGAGAATCGGTATTTTTCTGCCCCTCCAAAGGTGGCTGCCACCCGACGTTTTGCTGGCTGCGTGCAGCCACAGCAGACGTACCAGGAGAGAGGGTCACATCCAGCCGCACGCTCTTCCACTGCAGCAAACTGGAACCGTTGTAATGGACCGCTCGCCCGTTGCTGCAACCGTGTGAAGAGGAAAGGAGCAAAGCGTTAGCAGGAGAGACGCTGGCTTAAGATTTCTCTAGAACTTCGGAAGTGGAGGCCCAGAAGGATGCGACAACAAAAGCCTGTGGTCGTGCCACACCGAGAACAAAAGATATATTGGTATCTTTGCGAAGGCCAATTATATTGAATGGGTGAAAAAAACCCAACGTCGTGGGGGGTGGGGGGGGGGTTGAACAACTGCCTTCCTTGCACGCAAAACACTGGACAGAGAAGAGAAGCCTTCAAGTTCCACAGAATCCGTTTTTCAAACAAGAATCTTCCACTGCCCGATAGACGATCTTTACCTCAGAAGAGAGCATGAAAGGAGCTTGTTCTCCTGCAGGGTGCAGGGAGAAGCTATTAGCCAAAGATGTGTGGGGCAATGTATTCAGGTCTATGAGGAAAGTTCTGGAAGTTAAAAGACTTCTCCTGTCCCTGGGGCTTTGCTGTTGACAAAGGGAGGGCCTCTCGGCTGGGATCCATCGGGCAGGACGGCTCTTTGCCCCTCCTTCTGAGCAGCCGGGCTCGGGCCGCATTTTCCATCACGTCTCCGGCTCTCTCAAACAACCCTGTCCTTCGCTGCCTTCTACACCTACAATTAATTCCTTCCTGCCTCTCCCCATTTTCTTTCAAACCCCTCTCCAAAATCCACGTTATTTATGAAGACTTTGGCACCACCATTGGATGAGTGCACGCGCCTGAATACAGGCACACCCTTCCATGTTTCCTGTTACCAGCATGACCCTTCCCATCTGCCATTGTCGCCTCTTCCACATTTTAGGGAGAAAGCTCTTTGGGGGAGGGACCACTCCCCTCTGCTTTGTAATTCACTGCTTTGGACAGATCGTTATCCTTCCTCCTCCTCCATGAAAGGCAGGGGCACAGCTCTGCGGCGAAGGACAGCAACTTAAAGAATGGAGAGGAGTTCTGTGAAGCCTGAAAGCTTGCTACCCTACCAGTGCTGCTGGTAAGAGCCAGGGCCCTTTTCACAGACTGCCTGGGAGCTGCAAGAGAGGCGGCCCGCACAAGCTGGCGCCCAGCAGCGAGGCCGTCAGAGTCCCATCGCCGAGCAAAGACTTTTACAACGTACTTGTGGAAGAGGCAGGTGCCCACGGGGTTGGTCCATGCTCCATCGCGCTTCTCCGCCTCTGTGGCGAAGCCAAACGAGACAATGGGGCCCGTGTCGTCATCTGTATCTCCGTAGGACACGATCTCAATCTCCCAGTAGAAGGAGGGTGCCTGGGGACACGAGCAGCCCCCCCCCACACGTTAGCTGAGGAAAAACGCTCTCCGGCTCCTTCTGGAATCGCGTTTGCGTGCGTCTGAGCATGAGGCAAGACCCACCCGGAGCGCTCACCTGCACCGGGACTGGCAACGTGGCGTAAACGAAGGTGCCACGGGGCAGCCCTCCACCCGCACTGGGGTCCGCAAGGAAGGTCACGGCAGTCAGGTGGGAGGAGAACATGCAGGCTCGCACGGGGGGGAAGACCCTCGAGGGGCTCCAGGTGATTTCCTTGGGCTGCACCAAGAAGAGATGGGTCTGCTTTTAGTTACGCAAACCTGCGGCCCGTGCACTGGAGTCGGTGCCTGCAAAACCCCGCCAGCTGCGCTCGCGGCAGAAGCGGATCCCGACAGGAGGCAGCTCAGGCCCCCTTGTGCCACTCTGGCTGGGCGGCAGCCCTCCTTGGGCGGAAGGGCAGCTCGGGGAGGCGGCGAGGGCGCGGCATTCTCTGTTTACCTGCCTTCGGTCTGCCTGCGGTGGCGGCGGCGGCGGCCGGGCACTGTCGCGGTACAGCATCCTCAGCCTTTCGCACTGCACTTCTACCACCAGGAGCCGCTCCCCTAGAAGGCCACCGACAAGGCGAGCGGTTACACCCCGGCCGGCTCTCTACCCTCGCTGAATGTGCGCCCTTCACACCTCTGTTTCCACCAGCAGCAGCGCCCCTGCTGTGCTGGCCGCTGCTAAAAAACAATCAAGCTACCGGCTGACCAGCCAAGTCACGTCAGCACACGCTGCCTCAGCTCTGTGGGCCTGGCCTGCCTTCCAGAGGGCGGCCTGCTGGCCCTCACGCCTCTGAACCCTTTAAGCCACAGCAGGCTGTGAGGAGGAGCAGGAGACTCCAGCACCCATTTCCCACAGGCCAGGCCACGCGGGTTTTCCAACCCAGAGGCCTCTGGCCAGTGAGGGAGGAGCTGCAACCCTGGGGTGGGATCTTAGCCTCCTGCCCAACCGCTGTACTCCAGGTGGGTCACACCTGGCCGGCCGGCCGGCCACTGGATCCAAACCGCAGGGATCAGCACAGCGTTATGCCCAGGCCCCTCGCTGTTCCCCTAGTCTTAAAGGGCTGACCGACCTTCTGCGAAATAGTACTGCGTTCCTACCGGGGCTGCACTCCTGGGCCACGAGGTTAAGGACTTCTACAGCAGCTGGACACTGCTCGATGAATTCCTCACAGAAGGAACTGTCCTCTAATAACTGGGCCATCACCAGGCATGCTCTGGGGTGGGGGCAGGAAAGAGAAGACAGAGGGTCAACAGCATCTTGAAAACCTTTCGGGAAGGTACGTGGCGTCACACAGACGGCAGCACGTTCAGAAAAGGACGTTTCTGCCTGCAATTTCAGCTACTGTTCGATCCTCTCAAGTCTCTTGAAGGCTTCCTTAAAAGTGTGCCCAGTAGGACAGCTAGGCAGAGTCCACGCCTGGAGCCGAGCCCTTAAAACTGACGGCTGCAGCCAGGTGTGTGGCTGCTCTGCTCAGCCGCACGGTCGAAGACCCTCGTGAAGGCAGGGACGAGCCAGCTCCTTGGGTCAGGGCTTAGTCTGGGGAGCTAAGCTGGGCCTCTTCACCAGGCCTGAGCATTACGGCTGCACAGTCCTCGGGGTGCAAATCCTGCCCAACCCTCCCTGCCAGCCGCCCACCTGTTTTCACTGGAACACACACAAATCAGGCACCTTCGGGTGCCAGCTCCCTGGGGCTGCCACTGTATGGCCACGCTTGGGCTTGGAGGGTCCGTGGCTTGGTCAGACTGCAGTGCCTGCTAAAAGCTACACTTGGGATGTTTCCCCTGCTGGACGGGAGCCTCCTACGGCAAACGCTCAGGCAGGGCTGGGAGGGCACAACCACAAGTGTGGTCTCCCCATGACACCTATATTCCCGGAGCTGCCCTGACTGTGCCACCAACCCCGCCAGCTAAGCACCCAGCCCCCCTCTTGCCCCGCCCCCCCCCCCCCCCCCCGCTGCGTCTCCAGGACCGCCGGAACCAGCGCCACTCACCTGGTTCTGATTTCAGCAAGGAGTCGGACCACTGCCATTACTGGGGTTGAGCCATCTCCTGTTGCAGGAAGTGAGGTATGAATAGAGAGACTCCCCTCCTGAGGAAGCAACATGGACTGGACTGCCTGTACTACCTTCTCAGTAATGGACAGTTTATGGAGAGGCAATGCCTGATGGTGGTGGAGGGGGCACGGTAAAAAGTTAAATTCAAGTCGTTAGTTTCTAGGAAGTGAGGGAATTACCTGGAGTTACATAGTCTCACTTTTACATAAATCACAAACACATTGAATGAAGCATTACACACCAAGAAGAAAACAGTAAGACAGCCTCACATTCTCAAGGATTTTAGCTACCCTGTATGCCAAATTTTGGCAGAATGTTGGGATATAAATTAAACAAACGATCAACATTCTGTTTTATTCACGTGGAATTTTTAAAGCGTCTTCCTCACTCAAGCTTCCCACACCACTTTTAAAAAGCCTCTGCCTCTTGAACAAATTAAATTGCAGCTTCAGCCATTTAAATGGTCATTTAAATCATATGTCAAATTTAATCATTCATTATTACACTCAGCGTTGGATTTTAAAATGACCTTACCTCTGATCTTGGAACACAGAGCCTAGATAATGGAATAGTTAAAATGTCTGATGCCTGGGAGGTCTTTCTACAGTCTATACTGGTAGGTGGAAATTTGACCGTTGCTATACCTTCCTGTTCATTAATAGATGCCACCACTCCAAAACTTCCTGCTATTCCCCTACCCAAAACCTGTTAAAAAGAGAAAGAAAACATTTGTGAACGAGGAGAAGCGTTACCCAGACCGAGCTGCAAACACTCAGTGTGACAGAGCCAACCTCCAACGCTGGACAGCGTGGCCTGGAAGTCATTGTGGAAACAGGCCTTTGTTCCGTCTTTATGCGCAGGGACTGCCGTCCCTTTTGCACACGCAGGGGGAGGGGGGATGAGAGCAAGGCTGGTCACCTGCACTTCAGAGCCAATCTTGATGGTCTCCTTGAAGCCACCGAGAGCACACAGGGCCGCTACCGCCTGGCGGGCGATCCTCTGCAGCTGGGCCAGTTTCCTGCCGCTGCTGCTTCCGTTCTCCAGGATGCTCTCAGCGTATTTTCCCAGCTGGGGAATGTACATCAGCGCACGAGACAGAACCTGGCAGGAGACAGAGAGAGAGGGAGAGACAGAGATTAGCAAGGGATAGGAAGGGCTTGGCTAGAATCTACACGGATTCTGGGAACCACTGCATCTGGGAATGGACTTGAGGAGTTTTCAAGTTACTTTGATCTCAAGGACACAAGCAGGGGGTGAGATATAGAAACACGTAATAAAAAGAAAAGTTCCCGTAGGATTTAAGCTACTATGCGGGGGCTTTAAGGTGCAGAGTTCGAAGCACTACCAACCAGAAGGCATTATGCAGAATTCAGTATTTTATTCCCTTCAGAAAATCATCTGCAGTGCAACACATGATGAAAGAAACAGTTGGAAAATGCTGGAAGGTTCCCAAGGAAAGATGGTGCTGTTTGGATCACCACCCCCTATCCCGAATTCTATGAATGAGACCAAGTGAAGGAATAAAAGCTTCATCTGGGAATAGATTACACTGACAGACTGTTTCATTCATAGAATGAACCAAAAAAAGCCAAAATAAGGTAGCAATTTCTCCACCTGTGGGGAACTTCTAAGGTTTGCAGAAATGTTTAATTACAAAAACCTAAAGAGTATTTCTTAAAAAGCTCAAAGAAGGACAAAGCGCAGTGGTAACACCCAGGAACCATGGAATGCCAGCCAGCTCTCAACCGGACAGGAAAACCAACAATTGGGATAAGAAAGGACGAGGTGGGCGGTTGGCAAGCTTGCGCCCCTGACTGGCCACAGCACCTGACCGGTTGCCTGGAACTTCGGACAGGGCCACCCCAGCCAGTGGGCGAAGATACATGATTTGGGGAAGGTGCTGTTTGCAGGTGATAACAACAGCCTCCTTCTGACTGAACGCCAAGCATCATCAGCACTGTTGTCATCGATGCTCACAAGAAGAGGCAGACCTCGCCCCCCGCTTACTTTTTCAGCAGTGGTTGTCCATATTTGAGCCGCGTTGGACTCTGGGGCCATAAGCAAGCTGTGAAGCAAAGCGATCACCTCCGCAGCCATGCTGTTTGCTACGTGGCCACTGATGAAGGGCCGCACGGGGTCAGTTCTGTCGAGAAAAAAGGGAACGAATTAGTTTACATCTACTCCTGCCTGAGTTAGGATGATGTCACTCTTAAATGCGTATTTATGTGCAGGATAACGGACTTGGCTTTATTGTCTTGGTTTGTATTTACTCTGGATAGGCCTATTATTATGGCTGAAATCCTTCATCACTTTATTTTTTCCTCATCCCTTTTTATTCAGATCCCCCAATTCCCCCGTGGTTTTATTATTTCTCTACCATCCCTGTATTGAGCAGTGTGCTAAATCTACACTTCAAATTCGTATCGGTTCTAATTGCGAATCTGTGGTCCAGCTTGACCCTCCGGGAGGCCATTTCACACCAGATTTGCTCAGGCCACCTGCCTGCATCCGCCGACGCCACTTTTACATGCTACAAAGGCAGAGCTCACCGTCAGGGACCAACTGGCAAAGGAATTTCCACCACGGCCACCAGGCAACCGTCTGTTTCAGATCAGGACATCGCCCATGCTGAGTACGAGGACGCCAGCGGAACCACCCTGCCTACCTGGCGAGCTCTGAATTCCGCTCCCGGCAAACGGAGGTCTGCGCAGTTTTCTTTTTGTCCCCCGTTGACAGGCCGCTGGTGCTCTCCGAGTTGACCGTTTCGACCGGCGGCCCCACACTCACAATCAGCCCCGACTGCGCCCACTTGGTGGCCTTCCGCAAAGCCGCTGCTGCCTCCTCTGTGATCACTTCACAGCAGCCACTCTGGAAAAAGAGCGATCTCTTTCAGGACTGACTCACTCTGCACACGCCGACCAACACCACTGGCCCCGGTGCACCTTATCCCCAGAATGTCGTCTTCTCTACAGTTCCACAGGCTAACTATAAAGACATTGACTGGAAGCCATCTTCTTTCTCTAAGAAAGGGATCCAGCTAGTTCCAAGATTAAATATACTTTGCCCTTACTTTAGTCATATCTCGGTCCATCTTAACCACCTTCTCCATATTGGCGCCCGTTCCGAGGCGAAATGGCCGACCTTCTGAGCTGCTATAAAGGACAGAATAGAAACACAGCATAAACATGGGGGCGCCTTACAGGTGTTTTTTCCGTGTTCTGCAGAGCCTGAGTTACCTTAGCAGGGGCTGAAGGACCTCGTGAGATGACTGGTCTTCCCGCTTGTGAATGAATATGGAAAGTTTACCATCTACAGCCTCGCTCTCTTCTCCTGGGTCTTTGTCTCCTTTGAGGGACCCTTTTGGGCTGGCCTTTGTCAGAGACATATCAGGCTCGGATGCGGTTGGGGAGAGAACCGTCTGGCATCCTGTGGGCAGGAGGCAAAACGGCATTAAGCAGCAGCCTTAAATGCACTGCAGGCTCTTGCAGAAAATGCATCGACACCGGAAACGGGCTTGCTTCGGGCCCAGCTACAGGGACAAGTACATCCATTACAAAACGCCAGCTGCAATGAGGAGACCCTCTTCTGCCTACCCTACAAAGAAGCTGCTGAAAGCCACTATAAAGTGGCCTTGCACAGCATCTGCTGGATATGTAGGCCCGGCATATACACGCGACAAAATGAGAGATGAGAGGCCTAGCTATTTACATGGCAGAGCAGGCCAGCATATCTGCAACAGGGATACCTGCCTGCATACCTTATTAGCCCCCCGCAGCTAGAAAGCTAGCTTTGATTGGGCCCAAAGTAAGATCCTTCTCCTGCTTGCTAGTTTTTCACTGCAGGAGGTATTCAAAAATGGCTCCTTCTCACTTGCAGTCTGAAGTGGTCCTGTCACTGTACCATGTCAGGAAGCTGCCTATACAGATTTGGGCGGTGGTGGGTCTCTGGGGAAGGGAATGCAAGACTCTGTGAACACCCTGAGGCAGTGTATAAACGGCAACCTCAAGGGGGTGCTTCCACGTGATGCTAAAGGCTATGTTGGAATACAGGAGCTGATCTGCTGGGCCCAGAGCACTCTGGGGACCAAACTCAGTGCAGGCAGTGTGCTACCAGTGTTCCACCACCATGAAAAAGACACATGCTAGCATTTTCTTGGCACTTCCAATCTCTGATATAAGGCAGCCCATAAAAGTACACGACACTCCTTGAATTCCCCCGCAGCACTGATAAGTTTCTCCAGTTGCCCAGGGGCTTCGCCGCAGAGTCTTAGGCATTTCTCTACCTGGAACCACGTAATCTGCCAGTTTTGCCAAGAGCAGGGAGGCAATTTTGGAGGCGGGGTCACTGGGGTCATCTTGCTCGCTGTTCAGGGAGGGCACAGAGTAACTCCAGGGCGGCAGTTCGACATTCCCGCAGTCCTCGACGCTCATGAGCGGGAGAGCAGCACGGCAGAGCTGAAGGATGATGAGGACCAGCTTCGGGGATGGACGCTGGTCCAGGAGCAGAGAGAGAAGCTTGGACACGCAGGCTGGCTGGCTCAGGATGGCCTTGCCAATGTGACTCCTGGAAGAAGGTGAAGATCGGTCACTTAACGTTTTTGAGAGCATCAAAACAAGTTGTACTGACACAGAACCGAGTGACAACAGGATGTCTGGTATGGTTTCAGTTCCAAGCCAAACAGAAATGTCCAGTGCGTGTTCCGGACTGGAAAGCAGACAAGCATCTAATAAGGTAAGAAGCAGCGTGCCCACAACTACAAGTTAATCACAAACTGCAACCATTTGTTTTGTGTGTGTTTCAGCCACACACTGTGGGGGTTAACACCAGTTCTGAGGACTAACAAGATTTTCTTGGGGCCAAATTATAACGCAAACTTTTTCACTTTCACTGCCACTGAAAGAAGAAGCAGGAGGGCAGTCCCGCAGATGCACAGATCTAGGTATAACAAAAGACGGTGTAGGTACAGAGCTCCAGCCGCATCACTGCCAGTGACACACCCTCCCTGCGCCTCTGCTAGAGGTTAAAGGCTGCAGGATCAAGCCAGACGAGTACATGACGCAGAACTGAGAAAGAGCAGAAAGGAACTAAATGTCTGGATCCTAGATTCTGCCATATGAAAAGAACTGTACCCAGAAGCTTAACATAAATTGCTGCTTAAAACCGATTTCTTGTATGGGTCACAAAGACTTTCAACGTTGTTCTTTTTAATTCCACGGCTCAGCGGTTATGCTACTAAAGCAAGTCGATTGTAGGCTGCTAAGCAAAACAGAGGCCGGGAACTGGGCTGTACCTTGACAGATCGTTCAGGAGGCTGAGGACGTCCTGCAGGGCATCATTGCCAGCGGCCTGGTTGCCGCAGCACTCGGTGGCGCGTGCCAGGTGGTTGGTTAAGAGGCTGGAGACCTGACGGGCCAGGCCCGAGTGCACAGCCTCCGTGGAGCCGCCTGCAAAAGAAACGCAAATAGGACTGGGGTTGAAGAGAGCCCATGGCAAAACGTATATGCCGCCCCCATCGCATAAGCCTCGGGGCGGCTTACAATCATTAAAATCCCGCATATAAATACAAAAAAAAATCATAGAATAAATAAAATACGTAAAATAGTGGAAGCAGCCTGGTCAGTTTAAAATCAACGAATAAACCTTAACAATTAAAATAGCGTTTAAATAAAAAGGTCTTGGCCTGGCGCCGAAAAACAAATAACAACGGCGCCAGGTGGACTTCTTTGGGGAGCGCATTCCATAGGTTGGGCGCCACCACAGAGAAAGCCCTCCTCCGAGTACTCACCCTCCTAATATCCTTCACAGAGGGTTCCCGGGTGCGATCAAGTGTTTTAGAAAGGCTCAACTGAACAAAAACAAGCTATCTTGGCGCTCTGGGTAGCTGAGACACCAGTATCACTGATTCCAACTAGCGTGCTTGAATGCAGCGTGAAAAGCGCTTGTGCCAGAACAGGCACCAACAGAAGCAATGGCTTTTCCTTCTGGCCTTTCCCTTTCCCTCCCCCCCCGCCCCCTCCCCCCCGGGCCAAGCGGTTGCTGTCGAGCCCTGTGTCGCAGCACCGGGCGGGCAGCCTCCCCTACCTTCCTCTTTTTCCCACTCGACGCAACGGTTGGCCAGCACCTGGAACGCGGCCCAGGCCATGGTGGCCACCTTCTGCTTCTTCGTCTGCTTCTCGCTGGAGCTGGACTCGGCCTGGCTGCTTAGGCTGCACAGGCGGTCCATCAGCTGCACCAGGCCGCTCCGCACCAGGCACTTCTCTTCGCTCCTGTCCAGAAACACGGGGCATGACACAGGGCTCCCTCGGCCACACAGGGAGAAAGCCCCACGGCACATGGGTGGGGCCAGCATGTCGGGTCCCCACTCCGCAGCTCCGTGCAGCACCACCGTGTCCCCCACTAGACTTCTTCCCCCTTTCACGTTTGACTCCGAAAGCTGAGCCGACACTCGCCAAACACTGCAGCACCCACAGGCATCCCCATCCCCACCCCCAAAATGCCCTACGTTCTTTAAACGCTCGTTTCTTTGGGCTCACACTGACACATGGGGCAGCGGCCACAGGAAGATGCCTTTCCCGCTCTGCTCGTCAGTCTTCCCACAGCGGGGCGCACCTACCTGGTGTAGGGTATCGTGCACAACAGGCCGATGCTGTTTGCACACGCGATGGGGTAGCGAGCGCAGAGCGCCACCACCGAGGTCATGGTTTCCCCGAAGGCTTCTTGCACCTGCTCCACCATCCCGCCACACGTAAGCTCTTCGATTCTGCAGGAAGATGGAAAGGTGAATCCCACAACACACATGCTGGTTGAGCACAAGCCACCTGACCAATCTGAGAGACGTAAAGTAGGAGAGAGGAGCAATTTTTCTCCCACATCAAGCAGCTGATACGCTGCAATGCCTCGTGGCAGCCAACGCCTTCCTGCCCCAGAAAGGGCAGGATCGTATCCAGCGAGGAAGCGGGCTAACAAATAACTATAGCAAGAGCAAAGCAGTTAAGGAAAGGGAAGTAACATGAATCAGAGGGCATGTCAGCACGGCAGACTGAAATTTAGTTTCAACAGGCATGGATTCTCCTCGGAGGGTCCCGCGAGTTACACGCTGGGGCGGGATGAGCAAACAGAACGAGCGAGCAGCTCCAAGAAGACCGCCGGGACTCTGCGAGAGAGGTCCTGCCAGTTACACCAAGAGACAAGCAACGCGAGTCTGCGCTTCAGACATATCCACAGCTGCCCAGGAATAAACTGTCCGGGGCCGATCTCACAGGGCGAAGCACTCCCCCCACGGGGCAGACAGGCATGCACACGTCCGGCGGGACTTTGGCTCTCGTCGGCACGTTCACCGGAGGGCGGCAGCCCGGACGACCTTCGCACACGGTTGCCCGTGACACACGGGGTCTGCCGTGAGCTGAGTGTGCTCCGCGACTGGCCAGCACAAGCACGGCAGAGTGCGCGCACGCGGCCCATTTCCAGATCCGCTCTGCCAGGCCGATCCTGCAGCAAGTGTTGACTCCGCACAACCTGTGCCCCCGACACCAGCACCCCCCCCCGCCCACGTGCATTTTGGTGGGGAACTGACCGTGGGCCTCCTTGAAGGACCATTGTGACGGGACCCACCAGGTGAGTCACACCACCAACACGAACAGCGGCTGTCAGGAGCTCCCTCATATGCACCAGGGCCTGTTTCCGGGTGTTCCCACGGCGCCATCGGGTCTGAGCAGCTAACAGGAAACTGCTGCTAGACACCTGCAAGAGAGGGGAGTGTGAGAGAGAGGCTGCTTTATAGTGGGCCAGCTGGATTGCAACCCGAACAAATTTTAACGACGCACTGATTTTCAGCCTCTGCAATTTGCATTGCCCTTCTGCCCCATTTTAGTGTGCCTTCGTTATTGCTTTTGCTCCGTCCTGCCCCGGGAGATCCATTTTGCCGCAGAACACACACACACACACACACACACACACAATGGTGTAAAGCAGTACAACCACCCAGCACCGGCAGGACTTACCGCTTGGTCAGGATTGGTCCCAATGAAGGCAAACAACTGGCCCAGCAGGACGCTGTAGGCGGGCTTGTCTTGGCTGTCCTCGGTCGTCAGCGACTGCAGCAGGGTGAAGGAGCTGCTCCTGTGGCTGGTCACGTGGCGGCGCCTGGGGAGGATGGGACACAGACCTCAGCAGGCGGGCACCGGCTGCTGATCCCACCTTCCCCCATGTGGGACTCCAGCTCCCACCACACACAGCCAACACGACAAGGCCGGCTGGGAACGGGACTCCCACCACTGCGCAGGAGCCCAGCCGGGAAGGGCTGCTCCAGAGACACCGACAGCTTGGCTACTGCTTTTTTTTTTTTTTTTAGGAAATGGAAGAGGGCGCGCACCTCTGGCTTGACCTCGTGAACTCCAGGTCTTCATTCGCAATCATTTCCAGGTCAGAGGGCGCTGACATGCTGCGGAGAAAGACGGGCTGGCGAACCGCGTGAGAGATCACCTTTGTTTCAGACGCTGACTTGCAAGCTGCGGCGTTAAGAGGACGGAAAGCAGGACTGAGTCACGATGTCCTTGGAGGCAGTGAAACAGGACAGCCTCTCCTCAGGGCGATCCCCGCAAAGCTCATTCCCGCTGGGAATCTCCGCCTCTTTCCACACTCAACTCACAAAGGGGCACGCGGCATTTTGGGAAGAGCAGAGGCCGCATGGGAGCACACTTGCCTCTTGGGCGAGCTATGAGGAAGTCTAAGCCGCGGTTTGCTTAGCGTATTTCTCACGGAGCTCAGGAAAACCCCTTCTGGCATGGCAGACTCTTGACGCGAGAAGCCCTTCTGGGCTAGTGCCCGCGAACACGTTTCCTCCTGCACACGCGTTCACGGACACAGCCCACTCGGTTTCCACTGCAGCTCATGCCAGAACGCACGGGCTAAGCGGCGCACCGCGAGGCACTTTGTAGCTCTCGGCTCTTTGCGTAAGAGGAGCGATCCCTTTGAACGGCCTCTCCTGCTTCCAGCGTCATTACCTGGTGTCTCCGCAGGTGTGCCAGAGATGCTCCTGGTGAGCCCTGACTGGGCGGCGATGGTGACGTGCAGCAGCAGTTCTGCTCGGTTCATCAGACTCTTGACCAATGTCTTTGTTTTCGCCATGGGATGCAAAGGCTTCTGGACCAGGGAGTTTACTTCCTGGAAGAATTTTTCCCTAAAAGGGCAGGAGAGAAAGCCAGGCAGGCTAAATGTCCATGATATATTCAGAAGCATACAGCAAGAGCGTGTGTTATTCTTCAAATCTGGGGGATGCGGAGACTGCAGAATGGAGCTGGGGGGCTGCAGCGCTGCATGTTCGCTTCTGCCCAAATGAAGTGGGGTCAGAGCCGGAGAACCGGCCCTCCCACCAAACCCAGCGACCGCACTAACCTCAGCGAAAGTACCATATTCTCGAGATCGCTTCCGTCGAAAGAAATCTCTTTCATTGAGCACAGAAGTTCCAATTCCTTCATCTTGCTCTGAAGGAGAGACAGAAAGGGAGTCCAGATATGCAGGCCAGGAGATAAGCGGGGAGGGTTCATCGCAACGCCGAAGGGCAGGAAACGTCCTATGCCTCTCGTGATGCCCGGCTCTCTCGCAAACGAGGCCAGCGGCGCGCTTGCTGCACAGGCTGGAGCAGGAAGGCAGCAGCCCCTTCCCCAGTTCCTGGAGTGGGAGGGCCGCCCACCACTGGGCACCGCCTGCTCCGCCCCAACAGGAAGGAGACAGCCACCCTTCGCGATGCACAGACAACAACACCGGTGGGGCTCACATCTCCGAAGAAAAGGATTCTGAATCAGGTGCACCATCACCTGAACCCACAGAGCAAGCTGCCTCCCCCCTTCAGCTCAAGAATTCCAGTTACGCTGAAGTAACAGCTCCTTCTCCTGCCGCTACTACGACGTCACACTTATACCCTGCCTTTTCTCCTCTTGTCAAGAACCCACGGTGCATCATACAGTTCTCCGCCACTGCATTTTTGTCCTCACAGCAGCCCTGGGAGATAGGCTATTTGTTTATTATTTGACTCATTAGATGTTCAGCCCACTCCACTTGCCTTAAGGTTCCCTTTGGGTTTCAGCCTGGGAAGATGGTTTAGTGGAAACCAGAGCGAAGTTCTTCCAGGCCCCTAGCCTGACACTTTGGCCACTCGCAATTGCCGCGCACTCTAGGATCAGACTCGCACTACCTGGAAGCGCTCAGTCCCAGGTATTGAGTGTGTGGTTGCTTGCAAGGGCTTTATTACCTAATGCACACACTGGGGGAACCCTGATCCGTCGGGAGAGGCCTTTCCCTTGCACATATGCCCATAAAAGCTACCTGTTCCCAGGAGCAGGAGCAGCAGTAACTGGCAGCCCGGTCAACACAGGGTCAGTCAGTGAGGGGTAAAGAGGCTGCGATTCACTCGTGAACGCGAATACACCCAGCACAGCGTTTCAGGAGAATGGAGAAAAGCTGCAGCATCTCAGACAAAACGTGGCCTAGTGCCTAACTGGTACAGGTGAGGGGAGCGCAGGACGCATACCTCATTAAAGTGATAATCGTAAAAGAAGGGCACGTTGTTCTCCAGTTTCCCATGCATGGCATCGTCCACTTCGCTTTGCCATTTCTGTTCTAGCTCAGCGACACTCTGGCCAACAGAAAAGAGCATCAGAAAAGAGGCAGATCGCCATTCACTCGTCAAAAGAGAACAGAGCAGTCAAGGCCTCGCAGGAGATGCGCGCTCTGATTCTGCAAGCGCCACTGCCGCCTTTCTCTGGACAGGATCTTGACTTTAATAGGGCGCTTACCTGCAGCTGCCTTTCCATGGCATTTAGCTTCTTAAAGGTTTCTCCCATAATTTTACAGAGCAAGTCGTACTCCTCCGCATGCTCCTCTTGATACTGGAAGTTGATGAGGGACTGAAGCGCATCCACCAGGTTCAAGTGTTTGATCACGCAGGAAACCACCATCTCCTCCATTATGTCTGGCTGGACCACTTCCCTGGTGACAGTGAACACCAACAGGAGCACATTGGCACAGGGCCGCGTCTGGGCAAGCGGGCTCTGAATCCTGCCTGGATTAATTTTGCCCAGAGAAGCGGGGAAGTGGGAAAACCGCCTCCAGGATCAGGGACCGGAGCCTCATTCCGTCCATATACCATAGTTTCTGTTGTATTCTGCTAGTTTAGAAAATAAACCATGGCTTAGCGCAAGCAAGCCAGAGTTCTCCTCTGCTTCCACGTTCTAGCTGCTCAGCTCTCCATTTCAGAAGCAGAGCAACAGCCCTAGCTGTGGCTTATCAGTTTCAAAGCACATCAACCCCACTCCTGGGCCTTGCCCAGCCCAGGAGAGCACTGCCGTCAAGCGGCACTAGGTCCAAGTGAGGCAGAGGACCCAGGAGCTCCGGAGAACTGTACTGATCTTGGCTGCACTGGCATGCCACGCTAAACCATGGCTTAACACAGCGAGTTTTGGGCTCGGGACTCCCTGCTCGTCTCTCCTCCTCCCATGCAACTAGACAGTAGCCAAACAAAGGGCTTCCACTTCAGTTTTCAATTGTGGAACTGTGGCTCTTGGCTTCCAGCAGTTAAGAAAAATGAAACGAAACGAAATGAAACAAAAGCGAACACTTCTGAGCTCCAGGCTGCGCAAGAGGAGAAGAAGGGCGGTGGCAGGCGGCAGCTGCAAGTCCAAAGCTCACTGGAGTTCGAGCCCGCTAAGCATGTTGCTAAGCAGCACCATTCTGTCAGTCTTTACAAACTGGGATGGCTAGAGCAAGATAACTGGGAGGCACTCAGGCAATGCCGGCCCTTTTTGGTATGAGGCCGCTGGGAGACAGGAAGATTCGCATTCACTCTGAGGCACTCCAGTGAGATACACCAGTTCGCAGCAACCTTCTGAACATCTTTTCTGAAAATCACACTTATATTCACAGATCCAACTGCCAAATATTTAATATCGTAAATAATTTCTGCAATAACGACTATTGGGTGGTTAAAGAAATCTCTCTCCAGTTTGCTTACCCAGCATGAAGCTACTTTGCTCAGAGGTCTTTGACAAAGTGATGGGTGCATTCAACCAAAGCGGGGAGGGTGGAAAAGCTGCTCCATACCTGATGCTGGGTCGAAACTGAGGCCGAGCGCGGCCGGAGATTTCCCTGAGTTTGATCATGATGCCGGGAGGGAGCCTGATCCGTGGCAGGTCAAAGTAGTGGCCCACGGGGGGCACAAGGACATCGGACGGGTAAGTGAATTCCCGATCTTCGTCGATCGTGAGCGGCAGCGGGGAAGGGCTTGGCGTGAGGGCTGGCGAGATGACGCCGTTGGCTTCCACTTGCCACTGGCACCTGGAGAGCGAAACACAGGCCACGAGTGTGTTGCTTCTTTCTAACCCAGCCCTGCCTTTGCCATTTTCTCACAGTGCCCTGATCTGCAAGGTCTCCAAACGGACCCTGATATTTCCAAAGTAAAGCGGATTGGACCATGGGTGCGATTAAAGAGCAGGCTCTCTGCCTAATGTAAACCTTGCAAGGAAATATACTCCTTCCTCGACACAGCTAGAAAACCCTAAAGCAGCTTCACCAGGAAGCCATTCTAGAAACGCTTGCCGGAGCCTGGGAGAAAGCAGCTTTGGCCACTCCTAGCATCAGGCTTGGAGAATTAATAGACAGACCTCCCTTCCACGCAGCCACAAACGCCATTTACCTCTGTAAAAGTTTGGACCTCAGAAGTTCTTGGCATGTTTCCTCCTCTTTGGTTATTTCTGGTCCATTGTACAGTATCCTCAGCATTGAGCAAGCGAGCACAGACAAGCCTAACGCAAGGTCTACCAAGAACGGCAGTCCCCCAGACACATCTTCTGAAGATTCCTTTGTGGGGGAAAGTACACACAACTATGAATATTGTTTTCATTACTCTTGCCTTGCAGCTCAAATTACAACATATAAATAAAATGGCAAACATGAAACATTACTAAAATATGAATGCAGAATGACACTATGAATAAAAGCAGGAAAAAATGGCACACATTAAAAAGAGAGTCAAAACAGAACCCAGGCCTACAAATGAAAAAATATAGCCCTGCTCCAGAGTGGCTAATCTCTAATCTAATCAGAATTGTACCGCAGACTTACTCTGAAAATTTTATTTAAAATAGCATCCAACAACATGGTGGTAGGAAGAGAAGTAAAGCTGGGAAAATCTGCAAGTTCCATGGAGAAGCTTAAAAGTCCTATGAAGTTACTGTAAGATTTGATTATCATATAATTGCATTGAACAAGATCCAGGAACTGGAATTGGAAAGGGGGAAAAGGTGAATACAAGTGGCAGGCTGAAAGCAACTGGCCAGGTGCCTCAGGAGACTTTTTAGGCCGAGCTCTCCTAAAAACAGGAAGCGGAATCTTGTCTCATAGTTACAGGACCTTCTTCTCTCCTTGGGCTGATTCAGACATTACCAAGGTACTGTTATTTGTGGTAAAAAAAAAAAAAAAGCCTTCCTCCACAGTCGTACAGATGCACTGATGTCTGAATGTGGCTTCTCACGAAGGTGAGCTGAATTTCACACAAGAATACAGCCAGAGCACTGTAGCCATATTGCAACGGGTGCCTGGATCCCAATCCTGGCCTCCTGAAACCCAGGAAGCATTCCAAGTTTTCCCTGCGGCATCACTGGACAGCTGCATAGAACTATGTTTAATAAGCTCATTCTGCTTTGATTGCTTGTGCGGAGCCTGAATGTTGGAATTCAGTTGAGGTGCAGGGAACAGTTTCAATTCCAAAAGACCATCTTGCTCAACCCCCAGCCAGCCGTGTTGGACTACAACTCCCATAATCTCCACAGCCAAGCAGGTCCTGATGAGCCCCGGTTGAGGAAAGCTGCCATTAGATGTCGAGGAGTACGATTAAGGCTGGCCCGAATTTCCCACTGCTCCTCTCCAACTTCTGGCTCAGTCTCCAAATCTGGCACATTTAGGCTTATCTTAGTCCAGGGCAATTAATGACTCAAGCATACCTGCGCTCGGACAGTGCAGGCAAAGCCCCACATTGCTTTGTCTGGGGTGTTGTGTTCTCGGCCACTTCTCATTTCAAATGAGAAAGTAACAGTGTCCCCCTCCACCTTGAAAAGAGAGAGAGGGAAGGTTCCATGAATCCGTTTTTCAAGAAATTTGACCTCACAGAATAGGCTACAACCCCATTTAATGTGGTTGAAATCTTTTCTGCAGTGAGAGAGAGAGGCAGAGAAGTGGTCACTCTGCACATTCTGTACCTTTACTAGGTCTTTGGGCCAGCCAGTTCCCAAGACGCTACGACTGCCATATCCAAGAGTGTTGCCTCCATATTCTGCAACCTTCCGACTGTTGGTGTTGGGGCCTGCGTAGATCACCAACTTCAAAACACAAAAGACATTGTTACAATGGTGTGAAAACAAAGGCAACGGGCAGGCTGAATTCGGAATGCGGCTCCGAAACTCCAGCGCCCAAGCAGCAGCACCCTGCTTTTACCCCAGATAGCCACTGAGGGACGCAGTCCACGGAGGCTCCCGTGTCACACTCGTGCAAAGCAATGGAACTGCACGGGGCACGGCTTCTTTCTCGCCAGCAGTGTGAACTTCGTTTTTTTGGGGGGGGGGGGGGGGGGCGCCTCCCAAATCGGTGTTACCTTCCTGGACCTCACCTTGTCGTAATCGTACTGCGAGGAGCACCGGCTGTCAAACCTCAGGTACAAGCAGCGGGCGCCCGGGATGTGCACAGTCTCCTTGAATTTGTAGTTGTCTCTAACCGGATGAACCGTCTCCACTGTTTTCCCAGCGGCCCAAGGAGCTGGGATTTTCAAACCAGTAAGGAAGCCTGGCTCTTCTTTCTCCTCCAGCATTCTGGCACAAAGGAAGAAGAGAGGTTAGCAGGGAAGTAACTCTGTAGTCCTGTCATCCACCGAAACTCCATCGCTACCAAAATTATGTCATGCGAGCAGAGTTCTTGGGCAGAAGACAAATGAGGGAGAGTTGAAGGCAGTTCAGAAGAAGGAAAGTTTGGCAGTTGCCCGACTCCCATCTTGGCCAGCTCTGTCCCTAGAGCTGACGAAGGACCACATGCGGCTGGACTGCTCCTGTGGGGATAGACGGGCTTGCCCTTGGGGAGTCTGGGAGCTTCCACTGGTGCCAGCTGCCAGTTCCGTGCAGTTTTCCAATCACCTCTCATCAGGAAACAGCCGGCTCCTCTGCTCAGACGCCCCTCCGGGAGGACTGCCCACTTCTGAGAACACTGGAGACTGGGTTTTCAGCAACAAGGCTGTCTGCAAAAGAGCACGGATGCCATTTCAGACGGGGGCCATTCCCGACGGAGGACCCCTAGGGCCGCCAATCAGGAGCTATTGTGCAACCCCCCCATCCTTTTCTTCTTAAGACTTCCCAGGACAGGGGCGAGATGGAGGAAGCTGTCAGGAGCACAGGAGGGCGACAAGCTGAGCTCAGTCTCTAAAACCCCTGCAAACTTTTGCGAAAGCCTGTTTTAGGAGCATCCAGCTAAGCAAAAACCAGCGATGCTTTCTATCACTTTGGGTGGAAATTTATGGCGAGCTACGGAGGGCAGCAGGTGTGCACCTCCTCCTCTTCCTCGTACCGGTGAGTGCCAAGGCAACATTTCTGGGCAGGGCGTAGGGTGGATTCTGGGTCCTCAAATTCTGCAAGGGTTTCAGAGGGCTCACGAGGACAAAGGTCAAATATGCTGCCGCCCAGGGCACGCAATGCCGCGCTTACAGCATCCCCATCAGTTCCACGAGCGTCATAGAAGTATTTCTATTCCGCAAGCAGGTTCTGATGGCAAAGGTCACCCGCAAGCAGGGTGTCGCCAATCCCAGCGACAGAAAGAAGGGCCGTGCCTGGCTCGTGTAGAGGACCAGCTGCACCAGTTGAGGCATCAGAGCATCCGCCATGGTCAGCGTTTGTAGGTTGGGATGCATCAGAGAGGTCAGGAGCACCGGCAGCAAGTGTCCCAGCATTGTGGCTTTGGTGACCTGCTCCAGGCCTTTTAACCTGCAGCAACAAAAAATTATACAGACCCATCAAAACCCCCTTCAGGAGAAACCAGCTGACAAGTCAAATGCTGGCCTGAATAAATGTGCATCTGCTGGTGCATCTGCTGGTGCACCCCTTTCCTCAGGCCTGGCTGCTCTTTGCCTGTGCCCAGATCCGGCCTGTACTTGCATTCGGCCAATCGATGCAAGGCTCTTCTGAGCAGCAGCTGCTGAAACCTCCTGAGGGCAAAATGCGGGGGTGGTGAAGCAGCAGGGTCAAGTTCTGATGACCTGCAACCTGCCAGGGGGCATCTGAGTACACGGGACTCAATGTGTACACTTTTCAGCCCCAGTAACTGGCTGGAGGATCTGAGACACGGCACCCCGGCTGAAAGAGCCCCCTGCTCCAGTGCCGGTCACACTGCACTGGGACTGCAGCCCCCGGGGAAGCCCACCCTGACACACGTCCTCCTCCAGATGACAAAGGGCTGCTGCGTGAGGGGCGTTTTTGTTTGGAGGCAACTGAACAGGAAGGACGGGGGTTAAATTTTCAAAGTAACTCGGGAAAAGACTGTACCTCTGCTCCCTGTCGGGAATATCACTGTTTATGAGCGCAGTGGTGACTTGCTGCAGCATTTCTAGAACTTCATCGCACCCGGTCAGGATTTGTGTGGCGAGAGCCAGGATACTAGCCTTAAGCTCCTAGACACGAAAAGGGTTCAGGAAAACAGTTGTGTTTATATATCCAGGGGAACAGCCAGCTCTTAAACCAAACAGAACAGCAGACAAAAATAAATATGGCTTTCCAAAGTTAATGTGATGGTCATGGTGATGAAAGCTAGCGCCGGCAGATCTCTCCAAGGCCGAGGCTGGAGACAGATCGCAGCTTCCTCAGGGAGCCGGAGTGGGGCTGAGGAGTGCCAGAGCCTGTGCTGGACGCACTCGTCCACCGTTCCCGATCAGAGGTCCTTTGCCGTGCTTCAAAAGCCTGCCAAGAAACCTCTCCCCTCTTTGACCAGAGATGAAAACAAGACAAGAAGAAATGAGTGAACACACCATGGAAATGACAGCTCTATCACTCCACCCATGGACAGGCTAGAAATAAGGCCTTGCTCTCTGTCTCCACCCCGGTATTTAAGACATTATAACTGCAACTACCAGGGGAACTGAAAAGAGGATTAGAAAAACTGGAAGACGCTTCTAGGTACTGTGGAGAAAATAAAGACTCAGTCCTGCTACGGCTCCCTGCTGAGACGGCCCAGTGAAAGGGCGCAGAGACCCTAGCGAGCCGTTTGCTTGAGGGTCTCTCTCTTGGGCACGCAGGACCACGGTCCACCTGGCTTCCTGTACAGTGATGAGCACCAGGGCTGTAACTGTTAATCATGAGCCAGTTCAGTTACTTAATTTAAAGAGATGCCTCAGAGTCGTTGGACAGCAGATTGTGAAAGCAATGCAAGCGGCAGGCAGTCCTCAGCAGAGGCATCCTGCATCCTACATTTTCTCTCACACCAGTATGTGGGGGGTGGGGAGAAGGGAGACTGCCCCTTCCCACATGGTGCTCCTATCACTGAACGAAGAAAACCCGTGATTTCCTCCCAGTCAGAATCTTGCTCACTTTAATGCAAACTGATGCACAAGTCATCAACCGAAACGTCTGACAGGTAAAGGCGAAGGGGTGAAATCCTTTGCCTGTTCAGGCAGAAAAAGGTCCTACATCCCCAGGCGTGCGATGCCATGTGGCGCATGTAGGACTTTTCTCCTGCCTAAACATGCACAGGATTTCAACACAAAGGTTCTTTCACTGCACAACCATCCTAGTGAGCCCAGGAAGGTGCACAAACTCCGGCACTTTTGTCCTCTACGTCCTGCTCAGTTGGCAACATCTTCTGCAAAATTAGGGACACGCTAATACTTATACTGGAGAGAGCAGCAGTGCTCAGTATTGACCGACTGCCGTGGCTTCCCTGTTTTACGGTGTGGGAACATCCATTTCTGTCTTGGCTACGGTGGCTTTTTTCTTAAGGAGAAGGCAAGACAACACACACGCTCTGCATGCGGGTAACTCTGGTCAGCTCAGCACAGAACAGGCCCTAAGAAGGCTGGGGCCCATCTCTGCAGGGCACTTTTCGGAAGGGTTAATCCAGCCCTGCCTGCTGGCCAGACAAGGAGCGAAACAGACGGTCCTAGAAGGGAAGAGAGGGCAATGGCCACCGCAGAGAGAAACTGGAGAGAACAACAAACAAATATGTGTTGCTAGGGATGAGGGACAGCATGGACACATTTCGGATTTGCTTCAGACACTCGTGGGTGTGTTCAAGTGGAGACACAGGCAGGGCGAGTACACAAGAACAGCAGCAAAGAGAAAAGGGAGACGGACAGGACTGGAAATAACAGGGCACAACTGCGTGTGGACTGCTTCTGCCTGGGCCCTGTTGACTGAAAGGAGTGCGAGCTGCTCTCGCGCAGCCTTATTCATCCCCAGGGGCCACTGGATCAAACGCTCAGAAAGCTGAGGCAGCCAAGATACAAGATGTGAGACCAGCTGAGAAGTACCAAGTCCGCATAAAAGCATGTTTTGCTCTATTGCTTTGGACGAGCTTTTAATATTCCTTAGAGAGCATGAGAAAAGCCCCCAGAAGCCCTACCTCCAACAGCAGGTTTTGCCATCAACAGATCCACCATCTGCAAGCATAGGACCGGCAACAAATTGAGTTTTAAAGTACCTGCGACGCTAGGTTTTGGCACACAAGGGTCGCCTTCCCACTCCGGAAGGCTCAGTGAAGCAGCAGCTCTCATACCAAGTCAACTGGGCAGTGTAAATGGGCTGCAAAGATTATGGCTGCCTAGAAGAGCAGTTGGTGCTTGCGGGGCGGGGCGGGGGGGGGGTTCTGGCACTTGCAGCCAAGACGCTGCGCAGCTGTTCCGCCCCTTTTCTTCTTAATAGAAAGAAAAGGCACAAGAGATGTAGTGGAAAATGTGGGAGAATTACGGATGGGAGACAGTGACAGCCAGAGCGCGCGTAAAATCTATGAATGAGGCAGGATGATTGCCCAGTAAAACATCTGGAAGCATCCCAGCTCAAAACTAGGATAACTCCAGGAAGAGGACTCATGGCGCTGCTCTTGACGTTGGATGGACTGATTTGCTCCATACCGCCTGATACCCAGACTTAAATGCAGTCATCTTTCTGTTTTGTTTTGTTTTTCGAACTTCTCTGAGTTTTCTGTTTCAGAGATTGGCTCAAAAATGTTTACCGAAATGCATATGTTAGAATGTTACATGGATCTGTATTTTGTGAATTTTTTTTTAAATAATCCCACTTTTATGCTCGAAGAATTGCAGATGGCCACGGAAGTACAACAAAACAGACTTATGAATGTACTCGTGAAAATATGATGCAGACTGGAAGCAGACAGATCTATGCGTCCTTATACTTAAGGTCAGGGGTGGCTTTTCAGATTTCAGAAAGGCGAAGAGATGGGGCCAGGGTGATTTAACTGCACCATTTAAAAGCCCACTGGTGGATATATTTCAAAATAAGTGGCAAAGAGTGCATTTCGAAGGGATATTCTATCATGTAACTGTAGCAGCGCCAAACCCAAGACAACCTGCCACACTTTTTAAAAAAGGAAGGAAGGAAGCAAAAGGAGTTTTTGTACAGAGCCAGGCTACCGAATTATTGGGAACAGACGTCATTAGTGTAAAGCTAGTTAGCTGCCTGCAAGAGGACCAAGGTCTTAGGAACAAATATATGAGGACTGGACCTTGTGAGGCTTGGTACTGGTCACACACCCCAGTCTCCACTGCACTCCCTGAACAGCCCCACAGCGGAAGTGAGCGGGGCAGCTCACTCCTGCACTATCAAGCACAACATGCCCTGGACTGGGGTGTGTTTAATGGCAGCCACCCCCACCCCAAAGGCTGCCCCCAGGAATTCTGGCTGAAGCCCACGGACAGCTGTAGCTCCCCCAGCCACAGAACCACACTGAGACAACGAGGAGGGACGAGACAGCACGGAGAGGGTATACCCGTCGGCTGACCCGCAGCGACACAGGGGCTGTTGAAAGAGGTACTGGAATTTAATATTGGTGTTTACCTGTACCTTCAATGTCTCTCCCTGCAAGGAGCTGTCACTGTCATCATTTTCATCAGGCTTAATCAAAATTGTATTACTCAGAAGATGATTCTGTACAGCCATCAGATACCGCAGGCAGGAGGAGGCAGCCTTTAACACAAATGAGCACCATTTGCATCATCGTCTCAACACTTCAGTAAGAAAATCAGCACAGAAAGGGGGCTGCGCGCGATTTTTGAAACACGAAGGAAGAGGACAGAGAGGGAAGGGGCACGAGGGAAATGCTGAATCGTTGTTTTGCAGTTGTTGTTTTGTCACAGCTTTGCAATGTGTTACAAGGACATAACAAAATATTCATTAATTCAAGCTGCAGTTCAGGAGACATGCTGCAAAGGGCTGGATTTCGTCGCGTTTTGTCGCATGACCCACATGCAGGTAAGAGAAATTCCAGTTAACAGTTAAAAACAAGGTTGAATCGCAAAAACGCTGCCCGAGTGGAAACGCGATCGCATCAGATTTTCTGCAATTATATACAAGACGACAGCCAGTCTAAATCAAGGCTGCCTTGCAATGATTCTGGAGAAGCAAAGAAAACCTGCACTATATTGCCCTTGGTGCAGAATCTGGCGCCTTTAAAATTTTTCATTTTCATTTTTTTTTAAGCGAGTTGCTAGCCCTGTTCACTGTGCAGCTAAATTTGGAAGTGTGACGCCAGGCGGCGGCTGCCATCTCAGGAGCTGCAGAGGTCAAAGGAATGGGGCTCCAGCTTCCTCCCTAACTCTGTGCTCTTCCCGCTGGTTAGCGAAACTACAATAAATCACGCAAAACAGACGCTCGGTGCACACATGCGTTCTTTAGGGAAGGCTTGCTTTTTGGGCGATCCAAAGCATCGAGAACACAATTCTGGCTGGTCTAGGCCTTCTCCCCCCTTCTGTTCATCCTTTCCTGAGTACTCCGTCAGAACCTTTTATCGCTCCAAAGTTCAGGAGGCTCCTTTCTAATGCACTGCCCTTCAAAGCTTTCTTGTCAAAAGAAAGCATCAGCAGACCAGCATCATCATTATTATTGTTCCCACTTGGGGATTCCATTAGTTCAGGCTGCAATGTCGTGGCTCAAGGGAGCAGCAGACTAGCTCAGTGGAAAACCCCACTCAGGTGTGACCTTCCCCGGGAAACCTTTGGCTGTTCGCTCTCTCGCTGCCTGGCCCACCTCAAAGGGCTGCTACAAATACAAGAGTGAAATGGATGCAGCCCGGAGTTCCTTTAGGCAGGGGACGTGTGGCTCCATTTCATATCTATAGATCACTTCCCTACAGAAATATCCAAAGCAGCTTACAAGTGATTAAGGTAAAGTGTTAATGTCAAACTGATCTACAGTTATTCGTCTGGAGAGGCCACCGCAGACGGCCAGATGCCACTAAGGACCTCCCATTTCGTCATTCTTCCTTTTACCTACAAACTCTTGGTTAGGATCGTTATTGTTTGTTTAATTTAAGAAAAAAGAGGGAGGGAGCACAGGGTTGCACTGTGAGGATGAATGGCATTATAGGGCATCTATCAATGCAAGCTTAGGAGAAAATATGGAACAGCTCGTGCCTATTCAAACAAGGTATTAACTTTGATGACAGGACAAAGTCCACAGTAGCACCAGTGTTTGTAGAGCTCTGTGACACGCGTCACGGTGATCTTAGGGATTTCATGTTTGGCAAGTTTCCTTTTGGCAACCCAAACACAAAGGGAGGCTTCTTTCAAACTTGGCAGAGACTGCAGTGCTGACCCCACCGTGACTGCGCCCAGAGGGAAAAAGAGCAAGCTAGGAGGGTGTTACTCACAGGCACGGATGAGAGGAGCTTTTGGAATTCATCTCTGGATACGGTTTGGCACTTGGTGATTAGGATACAAGATTCGCGGACAACAATCTTGAGAATGTAGTGCAAAAGTTCGTCGTTTAGTCTTTAAAATTCAGGAAAGACAGGGAAATGGTGAGGGCTCAGGGTGGACTGCAGAAACACCCGTGCAAACTGTGGCGCACGCAACACTTCTGCCCCATGATAGTGGCCAGCATGACACAGGCACGCAGCCTCTTACACTTTCTTAAACACAATGGGCCAGATGTGAAGCACGGCACAGAGATCTGTGCATCCAGCGACCAGGTCCGTACACCTCACAATGAACCACTCTGAGCAGGGCTTTCAAGAGCAGTTCTGGATATCGCTGGGGAAAGGGTGGGTCCCTGATTCCAAGCTCAGGGTCGCCTAAACTAGCTCTACGGATCTTTGCCGTGGAGGTTACGACGCCATGAGCAATTCTTCAGTGCTGGTGACAGAGTACGTAGCGAGGGCTGCAGTGCCCACCCAGGGAAAACTCCTGCTGGGCTGGGTCTACTGGCTGCTCAAATTGCCTGCAATTTCTAACATGGGTCTGATTGTAAGTAGCTGCCATGTGTGGGGGCACAGAGGACCTGAGTGGGAGGCGGCACCCCCACCTGCCACCTGCAGCCACTCCCACCTCCAGCAGGCAGACCCAGACTCAGCCACCCAGGGCTGAATGTGGCCTCCAGGGGGCAAAAGGGATGCCCACCCCTGTGCTAGAGGCCTGTGCGTAACAATACAAAACAAGAGAAGGTACACAAGAGATCACTTTACACCCTAATTGACCAGCCTAAAAATTGCTAACTCACATTTCCAAGCACTGGTTTAGTTCTGCGTAGTTGCTGGCAGAAACAGGATCCAGGCTAGGGGGGCCTTGGCTTAATCTGCAAAGGCAATTCTTAAGTGCCTGACCATGTGCATGCTGCTTTTACTCTTTTAAAAACTGTCACTGTTACTGGACAAGACTCCCTCTATAACAAAAACCACAAGGCATCTTGTGGCACCTGAAAGACTGGCATATTTATTCCGACGTATTTTTGGAGGACTATAATCCACTTCATCAGATGCAATAACAAACCCCATGCATATTTCGACAGAAAAATGTCCTGCGATGGCATGGCTGGCAGGGGATTGCTGGGAACTGTAGGCACCTTTTGCCGTCTCCATTTTTAAAGAGGCCACGAGTTAATGGTGCAAGCGAGCTGTGATGAAACCAACGGAGGGTGTGCATCAGCGGCTGCTGCAGCTCAAAGGAAGGTCTAAAAGGGCTATGAAGACAAAGTCCCTCCGCATCTGCGAGGGAAGGTTTCCTGGGAGTCCCCCTTGGATCAGGGCCCACAGCCAATACACAAACTCAAACTGGTAGCATTGCCTCTGGGACTAAGTGACGCAGCTCCTCATTAAAGCATGGTGCCCCCAGCAGTTTCTTGACCTACCAGTTTTGCTCCTCCTTTTTTAGCATCCAGTGCCTGATTGGGAGTAAAGGTGCTTTTTTTTTTTTTTTTTAAAGCACTACATCAGTGTAAGTACAGGCTTTCCTTTATGCTTCAGCATACGCCACTCGGTTAGAGAGGAGATATGAGAAGCTCTTGTGGCTCAGGGTCCTTGAAACTGTGCATTGTTTCTGTGTATCTGTATTGTTACAGTGCAGCTTTACCATGCCATCAATACAGAACTAATTTTCCCGACAGAGAAAGGGTTATGTGTGTTACCGTATAGCTGAAAGCAACGTTTTCAATAACAGCAGGAGATAAAGAGAAGCTATCAAGAGAAGCCCTCAGCAAACATACTGCTGGGTTACTTTATAGTGTTGGTCCATTTTAAGCTGATCACCTATTCGCTTTAGTTTGATCTTGTCTTACCTAGCTATGCTTTACTTCTGTAAACTGGCCACTGGCAACAGTAAAGAACTAATCCCTTCAACAGGCACAGCGTGCTTTGTAAAGCCGCCTCCCCAAAACTTTCAGCGCGCATTTTTTGCACGCTGCTCTCCTCACACACAAGACGACTTTTGTTGTTTACCTATAATGCTCATCATCTTCGCTGCCAAATCTGTTGTTCTGAAGCTGCTCTGCCAAGTTGGTCATGATGACATCTCGAAGCTGAGCAAGCCCACTGTTTCTGTCTCCTAAAATAAAATAATGGGTTGCACTTTGACGTTGGGCTCTGCTGCAAACAGACACTAACCAAAACCTTTTTATTAAATGTGTACCGGGCTATGTTATTCTGGGTCATATATTTTTAAGTTTGCAAATTAATGTGCATTCCAGCTTTGGTGGAAATGCTTACCTTCAGTTAAGACCAGCTTAAGCAAGTTATTAATTTCTACTTCTCCAGGATACAGGATGTTTAGACCAGAACTTAAACAAGAGAGAAAAGGGGAAAAAAGTAATGTTTACCAGTTGGAAAAACAATAAAGACTTGTTGTACCTTGCAACATAAACTTTGTTTTGGTGGAATGTTTGCTAAAATACAACAACTTTAGCTAGGTTGCAACAATCCCTCTGAATGGTTTTTTTTTAGCCGTTTTCAGTTCTGCTTTAATTGACAGTAAGAGAAAGGCCTGGCATCTTCTTTTAAAAACAGCAATCCATGTCCAGCACTCAGTCGCTGCAGTATGATGCCTGGCTCTGTTATAATGAAGAGACGTAATTCTACACTTCAGCAGTGTGTTCAAACTGCATTTGTCTAGCACATTCCGAGCAAGATTGTCCAGACATAAAACTCAGCAAGCAGTTAACTATCTGCTAATATTAACAAATGGAACAGAATAATCAGAAGTGGAAAAATCCGTTCTGGATTAAAATCACATTATTATTCCAACTGAGAGCACAGCTGCTCATAGTAAGAGGCACAAAGATTGCTCTGGAAGATTTTGTTCTCACATTTGGAACAGAACGCATTTAAACTTCCAAATGGGACATTTGAGTGAATTGTTCATCGTCCTTGACATGGAGATTATTTGGTTATCTTAACACATCATTGCAAAGTCATACAGAAACATTCCCTTTGCTTTGGCAACACGACAAGTGAGGTGGCAAATGAAAGAGAGGTGAGTCCTTCCTGAATTTTGAAATGCCAGTAGACTACAAAATAGGATATATGTACCACACCGAGCTGTCTCCAGCCAGGACCAGTATCACTCATCGACAGAAATTCAAAACGTCACTCTGAAGTAGGTAATAGAAAGATGTTTTCTATACTGCTTTCTCCTAAATCCTTATTATTTATTAATTTCACTTATGTACTGCCTAATAGCCAAAACTCTCTGGACAGTTTGCAGCACTTCATAAACACAATATATTTTAATAAAAAAATTAAAAACAAAAATTCCTATTGCTGGCTCCAGAAATTTGGATACAAGGGAAGTGGAGCCCAGATGACTAGTTTCCTTTTGTAACCTTCTCATATTTCCCACCATTTCTTCCATCATGTCTCTTACTGTAAAAGTCCATTAAAGGGGAAAAGGCGAAACAGCTGGAGAATGCCTTCTAATGAGTAGCACTAGAGGCCCTCGTCTGAAGGACTGTTCGGCTTTCTGATTGTTCTAACTGGCCGTGTGCCTGCAGCACGACCTGCCAGCCGTGCAGAGCCTCAGACGAGCGGGAAGACTGGCCTGCAAGGAGCAAGCGTTGCAGGGACAGGCTTACACACAAGCACACTGCATGCACACACAGAGCCCTGCTTTACTTCGAAACTAGCAGCAGAGGCTTGGGTGGTTGCCCATCTGTCCTCATGCTTTTCAGTGTTTCTATTCTGAGCTAGAAAAAAGTGGTCCGGACAGTTCCAGGAGCAGCAGCTGCCAGAAAAAACCCCCACCCCAAATAGGCCGAAATTATCTTTGCTAGGAATACAGAATCCATTTAATTAAACAAACAAACAAACAAACAAACAATGCAACAATAACACACCTGATTGCCAGGCAAACCTCCTTCTGAATTTCTGAGCTGATCTGATCCACGGGTGCCATCAGTAACTGCCAAAGCAAGAGGCCAGATCGCCTTATAATGTCCCGATTCTTCTCTGTTTGGGGGCTGAAGAAAAACTTAAAAACCACCTGCAAGGACAACCATTGAGGAAGAGGAGGAGAAATACTTGTGCTGAAATGTCATAAATGAGTGCCAATAAAAAAACACATGTACATTATGTAGATTCATAAAACTTATTGATGCCTATAACCCAGTTCACTGCAATGGCTCAAGATGGGGGGGGGGGGGATCAAAAGAACCGAAAGAAAACACAGCGAAATGTGGCTGCCTTAAGATTCCCCCAGCCTCCCGTGACTTAGCTGTGAGCAACAAAAAGGCCACCCAAACAAGTCGATCTTACAACACTTCCAAAAGATGCTCAGGCTCAGGTTTTGTTCTATTTCCAGGGAGAAAATTTGTTTATTTCTTCACGGTACTTTTCCGTTGGCCGCCCAGCAACATGGTTCCCCCCATCCCCGGAGAAACCACCCAGAACCTCTTCCCATCCCAGAAACTGAAGACAGAGGCACCAGTACCCTACATGTGCATCCGGACGGCTCGGAGATGCGAGAGACGCCCCGTCTCCCCCTGAGTGCACTGGGGATACCCTGCTCCCTTGAGTGCCCTTCCAAATCGATCAATTGCAACCGAGCACACCCATTTTCGTGCCATTTTTATTCCTTGACCGCTGTGCTCTTACTGATTTCATTTGTGCCTGTAAACCCCCGCAGGTGCCCTTCTTCTTTGCGAAAGGGCAGTGCACAGGTTGAACAAACACACAAGCACACGAGAGCTGCCCCATCACATGTGGACATACCTGGAAGACCACCAGGATGCAGCGTATAATGCAGGTGTCCCCGTTGACCATGGCTTTCTCCATAATGTCGCAAATGCTGCAGAGATGGTGCGCTTCGATTGGATGCTGCTTGCCCAGGAAGGTCGTGATTGGAAGGTTGCTGCTTGCTGCCAGCAGATTGAGCTGATGGATACACATGGCACCAACGTGGTGCAGTAACTGATTGATAACCTCGGTCGTGGTTATGGCATCTCCTGGAACGGAAACAGCGAAGTTCCATATCAATATATTGTCATTTCTTGAATCCGGGTCTAGTACAAAATGCAAGTCAATGGCAAGTTGCAAGGCTCCTGAGCTCAGTTGGACTGAGAACCTTCGTTAGATAGCTAGGCAGGCTGAAGGTCAGACAGTATGGGAGGAGTAGGCGCACGTGGACGCTGGGGTGAGGCCCCCGTTTCAAGTACCCAGGAACAACAACCACGTAATGACAGAGAAGGTTCTTCCACGTGTGGCTTTCACTGTGCATTTGCCATGCCTCGTTCGTAGAATTTTACAGGGAGGCCAACCTGTTTGGAAGCAGTGTTGAAGAACAGATGGAATAGGTTCTAGATGACTTTTGATTGAGGGCACGAGGAACCCTCCATCTAAAAGCAGCCCAAAAGAGAAAGGGTGAGGGTGACAGAGAGAGAGGCGGAGAGATGAAGTTTTAATGGTGGGGTCTCTTTCAGCCCGAGGGCTGAATTTCATTGCAGAAAGCTTTTGAGAACCGTGTTCCCGGGGCAATGGGGTCAGGGCCAAAATACTAGCATATTTCATCTTAAAGCTCTTTCTGCCTGTAATTAAGGCCGAGGAGAAACATTTCAACCTTGTAGCAGGGGGGAAATGCACAAAAACCAGGAAGCATCTAAGCAACCAGCTCCTAGGGAAAAGGGGTGCAACTCTGGGGAGCCCTGAGGGCCATTTTGGGACCCCAAGAGGACGGGACCAGCCTCAAGCCTGAAGTTCTCAAACCTTCTTTACAGCTATCAAAACCCCATTTGTGATCTACAGAAGGTCTTAGTCAGAGTTGCTCTAGTTTCTGAACCTTCTTCAGTTAAACCGCCAAATCCGAATCACAAGGGCTGGAACTGTGCTTAGTATACCAAATATTTGGAGCTACACTTGCATGGAAAAATGTCACCAGTACCATGAATATCCTAATTAAGTTGGGGATACTTTGAGTACCCCCAAAGAAATCAAGGGCATAAATCCTCTGACATGGTTTGGCCTCTGATGAGCTCCTGCCTCTCAACCTGAATTTACTTACAAACGGAAAACAGAATGCTACACTTTAGAGGGCCCTTGTGAGAGTAAATCCTCTGGAAATGCACATTCCTACGTAGGCTGTGGCAGTGGCATCCAGCAACTGATGATTCGAGTGCTAATGTTTGCATTCCAAGGCACAGTATCGGGGTGCTTTTCCCCCTGCAGCTGTAACGGTCAGCTGCCTTCCTTCCACAAAGTTTCACGGCTTTCAAAGGAACCACTGCACGGCATTGCCATCTGTGACTTCAAAAGCAGGCCAGCTTCAAACACCCTGGCGATGTTCTTCCTTCTGACCAGAAGGGGCTTGGTTCCACCTGCATCCTCTTCCACCTTGCGCCAAAGCACGGTTCTGCCGGCTGGTTTCTCAGCGCTGTGCAACACGGCTGCAAGGCCACACGCACCGCTCTGGGCTGCCCGGCTCACATTTCACTGACACCTTCTCCGCGCGGCATGCTGACAACAGAGTTTCCCCTCACCTTTGGGCTCCACGATTATATGGCTGACTCCTAGCCTCTGGCAGACATAATGGAAGGCTTGATTCCCAGGGTTGCACCACTGATCAATGTAGTCATTCGAGCAAGTCCAGATCACGTTGTTCATCGCATCATAGCAGGCACCTGCACAGAGACAGTCCGCACCTCCCCTTTACCAAAGGGACCCGGCCACGATGCAAAACGTCTTGCCTCGTGTGAAAGCCGCCACGTACACTTCTGGTTTGCCGTGCTCTGGGTCTTCTCACACACACCCCTTCGCCAAACCCCTTCCCAGCACCAGCACCATTTGCCTGCTCCTGAAGCTTTTCTTCCTTACTGAGCAGTTGAAATTTGCTAACGATTCTGTAATATCCCAACAACGGAGCCAGCGACTGGGTTCAAATGCCCAGGCAAGGGAAAGAAGCCATCATAGCATCTTTCCCCCACAGACTGCATGCCAGTCAAATGCCATACAATTTCCATAATGATCTTATTCTGTGATTCTGTGAAAGTGCCCCTCTCCCCATCATCACACTGCCAATGGTTTACCCTCAGTCCTGCCTAAGATTTAGAACAATCATACAATTTCAAGTAATTGTGTAATTTTCAACAATTACATGCTCTCTAGAATTATCTATATTAGATACATTTGCAATCCATTGCCCAGCTCTTTCTTCGTTAGGTTGTTTCTAGCCCTTCTCTTAAAAGGGTCTATCAACTGGTTAGTTGTTTAAAGCATGCAGTTGTTTCTTGCTGGAAACATCTACCATCCGTTTCGTGCCGTTTATTACCATTAGCGAGCTGCACCTAAATTGCATGCACGCTCCTTACCGAGACCGGGAACAAGAGCGCCACGTCCGAGTGAGCTCCCAGCAGCGTCAATGAGATCCGCTCGGCTTGCAAACTGCCCGTCCGAGATGTTGTACACCAAACTTGAGGCCAGAACTTTAAACAGAGAACCTGCAATCAATCCCTGGACAGCTCGCCTTTCTCACAAAATGAGCCTTATGAACGGGCGTAATTGTCACCCAGCGACAGTGCTTAACACCGACAGGGAAGGAGGTGGAGGCTCAGACTCGCCTGGAAGCCACACCTTGTGCTCCTGGCCTGTTCCCAGAAGGCACATGGACGCGGTGGGGGAGAGCGGGCAGAACGGAGCGGCTGACTGTGGTTACTGAGCGGTGGCTGTACGGCTGCTCACCCAGAGGCACTGCAGCCTCGCTGTTATTACTTCTTCCAGGAAAAAGTCCTCTCGCTCCACGTGCCCCGCTTTCCACCCCAAACTGCCCACCGGCACCCCAAGCCTCCCACGTGTGCGGTGGACTAGGAGCCAGCAGAGCGTGCGCATGGAGTGGTGCTTACGCAGGCACCACCGGCTGTCTCGGGGCACCGGCACCACCACATGCTCCGGGGCACCGGCTGGCAAACTGCCGCCCGCCGGATGCATTGTACCCGTGTGGCTGCCCCAGCCGTGTCACGCAGAGGGAGGTCTGTCCTTCCCATGGTGGGAAGGCAAGCGAGGGGACGGCAGCCCACCTCCCGCCACCTCCCCGCTGCCTCACACCCAGCTGTACTTCCAGCACGGACAGGGATAAGGAGCACACGGAGGGAAGGAACAACACTCCTTGTCATGGAAAGGGAAAACAGGTTTTGGGACTCACATTTGGCTAACGCAAGATCAAGCCAACAAGCCAAGAGGAATAAACTGGGGGGAAAGTCCCTCCCTTGAGGCAGATAGAATAAAGATTGGCGCCCAACATAAGCCATGCATGATCACGAGAACCTCGCTAAGAACTAAGCAGAGTGGCAGGAGCAGCTTCTCGGCCAGCACCTGTGCCGCTTTCTCTGAAGCCGGCTTCATGCGGGGGGGGGGGGGGGGGGGGGGGGGGGG